TGATTCGATCAGGTGATGTTCACGTGACGTGATTGACGTCCCTGTCCCTTCCGGCTCTTCGTCGACATCTCGCCATACTCCGAACCTCCAGTCTCCCCTCCTTTCTCGCTCCCAACCGCCAAAATGTTCCGTGCTACCAGCTCCCGCATGGCCGGGTATGTCGCTCCCTTCAATCGCTCTACAAGTCCCCGCACACAACCCCGATCATGACCGTGCGACCATCGAATTTCCTCTCACGATCTTCGGGTCCGGTTGCAGTCCAATTGCGATTGATGTTGCTGCGGGGACAAATTATTTCGACCTCTTACGACAAATTATACTGACTGCTTTTCTCGTTCTAGCTTCGTGTTCCGTGAGAACCGTGTGCCTTTCTACCAGCGCCTCTTCCAGAACCACGACGGCAAGCGTCAATGGTGGAAGGTCAGTTCGACCTGGAATGGGCACATACGCCCTCAATTGGGTACCAACAAATATCTAACGTTGGAATTGCTTCGCAGACCTCCCGTTCCGCTTACCTTATGTACCCCTACCTGATCTCCGTCTACGGTCTCGGTGCTGGTGAGTGGATCCTTTTTCCGACATTATGTACTGTCACATACATAGAGCTAACCGGACAACAGCTACCACCTACGCCATGGGCCGCATGGTCTTCGTTAGTCTTGCCCAACTCGTCCCTTGTCATTTTTCGACGATCAGGGCCGGTTAATGTTTGGATGTGTCCATATGCTGACTTCTTTATAGGGCCACAAGACCTGGATCTAAGCGACCAGTCATGAGACTTAGTTTGGCAAGAGGTAGAGGATGCCACTTTCAGTTCCGAGGGTTGTGAAGCTGCGGTGTCAGTTGTTTCTTATATGGTGTACTTCTATTCCAAGAAAGGGTTAGATGAGTTGGCAGCTACGCAGATTTGGAGCTGTACATATGATCAATTCAAGCGCCAATTCAAGATTGTTCCCTCCTATTTTTTCTCCTATCTCACGCCATCACTCCCTTGGGCTCTCTTCAAGATTAACTGGTTGTTTCGTCGTGGAGAAAGTATCATCTCACAAAGCGGCAAAACTGATGTCAAGACTTTCGAATTCAGTGATAGGGCGTTATTGCTAGATCTTGATTCTAACACTACAATCCATCTGGCCGTGCACATTTCAAGATGGCCACTGAGAATCAGAGTTTGGTGCAGGGCAAGCCTCTCTCATGGACAGAATTCGGGTCAAATAACTCAATCTGCTGCCTCGGACCCCCCTTTCTATCGCAGAAAGATCCATCGAGGCTCTTCTTTCAGTTGGACCCGGTGTATGATTTTGAGAGCGCATAATGGGAACATTTCCACGGGGTCATGAAATTGCGAATATTTCTAGAGCCTCATGAGAGACCATGCAGCGTAGTTGACTAGCGCTGATATCACGCTATGATCATGATGCATAGAACTGAACGTTATTTTCAATGATTCCGACACTGCAAGTCGGTGCTCACCGGACTCAGTCGATACACAGGACTTTGCCGTGTTGAGCGCTAAAATAACCTCAGAAGAGGCATGTTTTTTAAGTGCTACGTTAGAGATGTTTTATTTTATTTCCGGGAAAAACATAATCATTTACTCTGAAAACGTCAAGGACTTAGAATCCATGTTTTCTGGCATGGTTGTTCTTGAAGTTTGGTTTGTTGGGCTGAGAGGTTCGGAAGAATGGCAAGTAGGCTCAATGTTCAGAGTGACCGGAGATTGGAAATTGGGTCGATGCTGGTGGAAGAATAAGACCTGACTTAGAAAGTTATCAGTGATATGAGTAAAGGCGAGATACAAGGGCGAAAGAGAAAGGTTTTATATAAAACGAAGGCAGAGGCGAGAGAGCTTGACGGTAGAAGATCTCACAATTCGATTGAGAACGCCTTTGTGCCAACGTTGGCTACACTGCTGCTTTTACTATGCCTAGTCACTTGTAAGGCACACTGCTGGGAAGTTCTAAAAGATATTCACAATAGAGTCACCCTTGCACTGTTTCCTAACAGAGGCGTACTCCATCAAACTTCAGCTTCTTTTTCACATAGTTTGAATGTTTAAGTCAGTCCTAGGCGATTACCTACATTCTAAGTCCAATAATCAGGATCGTAGACAGCGTCTCTCTATAATACATTGTCATGCCCCAGAACTTCCGACAAATCAACCCAATACGTAGAAAAAAAGTCCATATCTTAGTGCATGACCTCATCATATTTGGTCTCATCAATAGAATCTAAAGCCAACGCCAGGCATTTGCTAATGTTTCAAACCTCTTTAATATATGAATTTCCTGGTTGGGAAAAGGTGTGCTGAGTCAGCTGTGAATCTCCCAGCCCTGGATTACCCCGGTTGAATGGACTAAATTCCAACACTACACCCCACTGATCGACTGCTTGTCAGCTTTGAAGAACGAGGATCAAGCCGAGAGGGCACTCTCCAAACACATATATATTGTAACAGGAACTGTGCATTGAGCCCCTGAAACACCGCGGTATTCTTTTATCATGGCTGTCACGATCGAGAGCCATGCACCCTGACACTTGATTCTCGCACATACGATCATGGATGAAGACCAACTTACATATACTGAGCGACCCGTCAAGCGGGTTCGTCAGGCTTGTGAGCCTTGCAGGTGAGTATTCATGCAACTTGACGATTAATCGAGATAGCCGTTGACCAATATCTCAGGCGGAAGAAAGCTAAATGCCCCGGGGAGCAACCTGTCTGCTCTCTCTGTGCTAGGCTACGGCAGCAATGTCTATATGCTGAAGAAAGGCGCCGGTTACCACCCCTCGAGGAACATTCCAGAGTAAATGACGCAGACAATCGAACGTCCAATGTTCTGGTAGTTTCCCTTGAACATAATTTACAAGTGACCTGGATCCCATCGGTATGCTGACTCCCTACTAGGAAGATAGAATGCGAAGTCTTGAGAATAAACTTGGAGAGGTTCTCGATGTGCTTGGGTAAGAACAAGCAATATATATAAGCCGTGACCACGCCACTGCTGACTGAAATATCAGTAGGTCAAGAAGCGAAACACAAATGCCAGCGGAACATCACATTCCTTCTGAGACACTGTCAAGACCAAGCTCATCCATTACGCTACCACCATGGGAGGAGATATTGCCCATTGCAGAACTTTATTTGCAGTATTGTGAATCTCAGCCTCTTCCTCTCTTCCATAGGGACAGCTTTCTCAGAACTCTACAAACACGAGATTCTGAGCTCATTTTTGCCATGCTGGCACTGGCATCTCGATTCTCATGCTCCCATTCTAATAGGACCGAGCCTACAAGTCTTGTGAATAGTTATGCCGAGGTTTCTCGAGGCTTGATCATGAAAAGAGTCTCGGAGGGGCCCGTGGAGCTTTCAACGCTCCAGTGTCTCTGCCTTTTGAGCTTGGTAGATTTTACAAGTATGCAATCGACATATTGTATCCTCTCCTTGTCGAATGCTAACCGTTCCCATTAGATGGTAACACGCATCGCTCCAGCATCCACAGCAGTCTAGCAATGAACCTTGCACAATGCGCCAATCTTGGCCAAGAGCCACGCACTGCAGTTAGCACCATAGTTCGCGAGGAACGAAGATGCTGTTTCTGGAGCATATGTCTCCTCAAACGACTACACGGCGGGGAGTTCTCGATATTAGACATGCCTGAAGTTGGAGGGCCGCCTTTTCCCCAAAGCCCAAAACGACCAGCACGACTGCTTTCGCCGGGGCCATCAACCGTCGAAATGCGGCGAAGTGACATGCAAGACGAAGGAATCATTGCCTACGTTATAACACTGAGTGAAGCATTTGCAAGAACAGCACGATACGTGCGACTTCACGGCCGGCCCAGCAATGTCCCACCCTGGTCTCCCCATTCCGAATACTCGAAGATCCTCGCCTTGCAGATGGATCTCGAGACTAGAATGCCCTACATCCATCGGTTCAAGCCTGCAAATCTAGGCGACAGAACCCTAGAGGAATTGCAGACACATCGTGAATACTGGGGTCCTTGGTTCTTGAACCAGTTCATGTATCACACCAGTTTGTGTCTTCTGAACCATCCCCTCCTGCTCTCCTTGAGTCTTCGCAATTTCCGGAATACCATTCCAGAAATCTTCCTGCAGCATACATCGGACTTGATTTCTTCGCATACGACCTGGATCATTCATTTCATCAATTACTTTGAAGAGAAATCGTTTCTGGTTTCGGATCCGCTACTGGGTTATAGTGCTGCTGTTGTGGCTACCATCGAGCTGCAACTCAGCTTTACAGATAACTCGACAATCAGGGAACAGAAACGTGAGAGATTTACCAAATGCGTCAAGTTTGTACAGCAGATAGGCGAAAGATGGCCGCATATGGCCCGGTTGGTACGAACATCATCTTTCCAGGAACAGAATCAACAGTACGATGGACTGACTGACCATATATTTCTTATATCACAGGCTCACAGACTCCAACGCCTAGAAGATGCAGTCTCAGCAACCTACCAATCATACCCAGATGCACAAAACCAAAGCCTCCTGATCGACCTATCTCGCTTCTGGGAAATCCTAGAATACTCCTCAAACAGCGACACAGACTCTGCCCGACGTCTATTCGGGGAATCTCTCTATGCAGGATCCTCTTCTGCCGGCGCAGAAGTATCCCAAACGTCCCCTTTACCAGCGCCGTTCCGACTGAATCCCCAAGATGAAGGCACCCCAAACCTTCGACAACAACCTTTCACTGCCAATGCCGCCTTTCCAACCCAGGAATACCCAGCGAACTCTCTAGTCTCGCCGCAACATTTAACGCTGTCGAATGATGAGTTCTCAATCCTTGCTACGAATTTCTTCTCGCAGGGTCAGGAGTTTCTCCGTAGTGCGGATAATTGGGATAGTATTGGGAATTTTTAGATAAAGATAATACATTCTTTCAATTCTCGTACGTCTATCTGATAGTATTTTCTTTTATGTCATAAATGCAAGATCGATTTCATGATATGTTCATAAAAGGACGCCGCTTATAATGAAGACAGCGAACCCTTGAACTCCTCGACGAACTTGAATACTTCGGAGAAAGTGTTGTACAAAGGCGTAGGCGCAACACGGACGACACCGGGCTCGCGCTTGTCGCAAATGATACCCGCATTCTGCAGCCTGTCCGATACTGTGTGCAACAGGCCAGGCTTGAGCAGAATGCTCAATTGCGCACCGCGAGCATGGGGATCTGAGGGAGTGATGATCTCAAATAAGCATGTCTCTTTCGTAGTATCCTTCAAAAGCAGGTGCTCCAGATAGGCTGTCAACTTGATAGACTTTTGGCGCAGGTTTGTCATCGAGGTCTGGTCGAAGACGGACAATGCTGCGCAGAGACAAGTGAGATCAATGACTGAAGGGTTGGAGAGCTGGAAACCTCCGGCACCCGGAATTGGCTTGAAGTCTGCTGAGGATTAGCATATGGTCCAATTCCTACGTCTTAGCAAGAGTATGCTGGAATGGAAAAACTCACTATTATCCATCTTAAATCTGACCGAGCGGTCACCACCATACCATCCAGTCAATCGATGACGGAACTTGGGAGAGTCCTCGCCAGCACTGTAATCAACCTTTCCATGTCTCTCATGAACGAAAAGACCACCCATCGCGCCGGGCCCGGCATTTCCATACTTGTATGTACACCAAGCAGCAAAGTCAACGTTCCAGTCGTGCATCTTGAGCTCCACATTTCCGTAGGCGTGAGCAAGATCCCATCCAACGACGAGATTGCGCGCTTTAGCATACTTGGTGATCTGAGGGATGTCGAATAGCTGCCCGGTGTAGTACTGGATACCGGGGAGGAGAAGCAATGCTCCATCCTCGGCGTGCTTGTCGATGTACGACAGGATCTTCTCTGTTGAGATCTCATGTTGGCCTTCATCTGGGCCAATGAGAACCATGTTCTCTTTAGCGTCGAGGCCGTGCCAGGCAATGTGAGACTCGATTGCGTACTGGGAATATGTTAGCGAGTGTAGCACGGAAATCAAGTGAACAATATTTTATCCTCGAAAGCTCAATCTAGCAAAACTTACATGGTCGCTAGGGAATGCCTTCCAATCCATCAAGATCTTTCGTCGGGTCTCAGTCGGCTTGTAGAAGCTAGCAAGCAATAAATGAAGATTCCCGGTTAATGTGCCCATAGCGGCGACTTCTTCAGGCGCAGCACCGACAACCCGGGCCATGGACGCAGCAGCCTGCTCGGCCAATAGCTGCCATTGCTTCAATGGTGAGTCTTCGAGATCAGTGAAGTGGCCGCAGACTCCAATGGATGACCAGGTATCCAGCTGGGCCTCCATGTACTTTGATACGGCCTTGGGCTGGATACCCAATGAATTACCGCAGAAATAAATGCTGGGCTCTGAGGAAAGTCCTGTGTAGCAGTGTTAGATCTGATAATGCATACATATTGTACAAGGTTATATCTGGGGAAGTCTCACCCGGCTTCGCTAGCTTCTTTGTCGCGAGATTGGCCTTGGAGGGAATAATGAATTGGTCGCGGAAACCTCTCAAAGGGTCCGCGGCATCCAGCGAAGCAGCATATTCCAACGATGCCGCCTCTGCAGGGAATACGGGCTTGGGTGCTTTCGTGAAAATCATTTTGGTAATAATGGAATGGGTATGTGATCGGTGTACGATGATGACGAAGCGCACACAAAATCAGGGGGAGCTATGGAGGAGTGACAGTACAAATGATTGTCAAACATGCAGTCGTTCTTATAATAAATGGGAGACAAATCGGAGGCGTGGGAGCTGCTACTCGTATGCAACACCGGATGAACATCCGCTTCCGCCTCCCCGATCCGTCTCCACATATCCGCTTCCTGATCCGTGTCGGTCTTCATGTATTAACTTACCAAGTTATGTGAGGGTTATATGATGATAAATTAGTATTATGGCAGTTTTCGTCAGTGATCTACAGTTGGGTTAGTACAAGGATAAAACATCCCTCGTATACTGCAATACCCTGTCTTCTCGTATAGGCTGTGTGGAATCTGCAAGGAGTTGATCGACTCTATGCAGCAATGTGAGAAGACCAGCATAGTATTGCAGAGATGTGACTAGGCAAACAAAGTATCACCGTCAGCACATAAGATACAACATATGCGCAGGCTTATCATTCTGCTGAAATAAAACTTGCCAATCCACCCGAAACACGGATAGATATCCGGGTCACTTCCGGGATTTATAGATCTTGACTAAACTGACCGACACAAGCCGATACAGTAAAATCCAGAGTCTATCCATGCTCTTATGATCTTTATTTGATGCCAAAAGAATAAGTAGTACTTTGTTTGCTGTCCAGCCCTCCATCTTTGTGACACAACTTGTGAACCTGCATCTTTAACAATGCTTGAATCATCCAATACCTCCGTCGATGCCATTTTCAAGGAGTATGTCCATCGTGGCTTCCTTCCAGATGGACTACCCCTGGAAAGCCTCCCAAGCCCCTACTACAAGGCATGGGAAGACATCGCCAGCCAACTCCCAGCTCTCATCCAGACAGGCCAGATCCGAGACATGATCGATAATCTGCCAGTCTGTTCAATTGAGCATCTCCAAACAGAACGGGAATGGCGTCGTGCATATGTCATCATGGGCTATCTCAGCCATGCCTACATCTGGGGAGGAGACAAGCCCAAAGAAGTGAGCCTCTATCCACCTCACCCTTGCAATCACAGCCACAGGGTAGCAGAACCCTAACAATACAAAACAATAACCAGATTCTGCCCCCTTCCATCTCAAAACCGTTCCTTGAAATATCTTCTCACCTCGAAGTCCCCGCCTGCGCAACCTACTCAGGCCTCACCCTGTGGAACTTCAAAGCCCCATCTCCAAATGCAGACACCACAGACCCAGACAATCTTCATGTGCAGACCTCCTGGACCGGCACAAAAGATGAAGAATGGTTCATGCTCATCTCCGTCGCTGTCGAAGCCAAGGGTGCCCGATTGATCTCGCAGATGCAGGAGGCTATCAAAGCTGTCACTGCCAACGACGCAGATCTCCTTACTTCTCTGCTATACCGTTTCGCGGATGGTCTAAGTGATCTCACGCTGACGCTTAAGAGGATGTATGAGCATAACAGACCTGCTGTCTTCTTTCACCAGCTGAGGCCTTTCCTTGCTGGTAGCAAGAATATGGGACCGGCTGGTTTGCCCAGGGGTGTTTACTATGATGTCGGCGATGGGGTCGAGAGGCCCGAGAACTGGAAGCAGTTGAGTGGTGGGAGTAATGCACAGAGTTCGTTGATTCAGGCGCTTGATATCTTCTTGGGTATTAAGCATTCTGATTCGGCCTCTGGTGAGAATTTCATTGAGGTCAGATTCCATTGCCCCTATCTCTTTTCGTGAGAGTTATTGAAGATGTGCAAGTATACTGACTTTATTCCAGGAAATGCGCAAATATATGCCTGGTCCACACAGACGTTTCCTTCAAAGCCTCGCTGCGATCTCTAATATTCGTACCTATATCCAGTCATCGGCTGATAAGTCGACTGAGAAAGAAGCCTACAACGCTGCTGTCAATGAGCTCAAGGCTTTCCGGGATACACACATCCAGATGGTTACTCGGTACATTGTCATGGCAGCGAAACAACCCAATCCCTTGAAGCAGGACACTGACCGGGTCAACTTGGCCACGGCGAGCCAAGCCACCGAGAAAGAACACCATCTTGCTGGGACTGGTGGCACGAATTTGATTCCTTTCCTCAAACATACCAGAGATACTGTCCAGGAAGCGAAGTGTTAGAGCTTTCAAAAGAATCTGGTGTGATGACTTTATGACTGTGTGTTAGATTTATTTGCTCAAATAGTGTTGATAAACAATATTGATTCGTGTTATTTCATTACTTCCAGTAGTGTAGTTCGCTGTCCCTGTCCTTAGCCCAAAAAATTGGACCAGATGAAACCCATACCATAAATAGACAAGCAATTAATCCGAGGGGTGTTTCACGGCCCTGTATTTGCATTATCCTTGGCACTCAATGTCGCTGGGAATGACCGTGTGATAGACGGATTTTTCCATACTAGAATGTGCAGTCTCGGGTGTGAATCCAGCATCATTCATAGTACGGTCTCACTTTTCAGGTAACGAGGATGATAGAGTTGGTGAAGATATAACCCTGAGTTAGTCACTTCGGGGCTTTATGCGGGGAGCAGAGGACCATAGATGAAGCACTGTGTTTGGAATTCCCCTGGGCCGGTCCATGGCGGTCTCAGTTACGAGATGTCGAGTCTCGTGTGTTCAGTTCTGATGCCTCACAAGTTTGAATTTGCCAGATCGGGTGGTGGTGACGGTTGCTGATCGAAGACATGCTGGCAGGGTTCGCTAGATAGCCACACAGCGATGATAGGCTTGCTTCTTGACATACCAAAAGCGAAGCAATCACCTCTTCTTCGTGTTGGCAGGCACGCCCTCGCTCTCTCGCAATTCAGCCAGCAACTTTTCTCTCTCAACCAGGCGCTCCTTCTCTTCCTTGATCATCTGCTCGACTGTCTGGGTCGCCTCGGCCATCCGATGAAGCTCCTTGTTCTCAGTCGTGCGACTGTAAGGATTGCCGGGGGTATCACTCATAGGGATATCAGCTGTCGCAATCTGTCTGGCATTCTTCCCTTTGCTCTTCGAAGGCTGTCCACCACCAGGGCCACCGGTAAGTATCTCGTAGAACGCCTCGACAGGCTCATTGAAGATGATCTCCTCATAGTTCTGGCTGACGACTGTCTCGCGGCGCTCTTTCATGCCCTCCGCATCGGGTCCGTACGGGTGTAGCTTCAGGCTGTGCCACAGGGTCTGGGCCTTCTCCCCCGACTCGGGGGCGAAGAACAGCTTGAGTTGGATTTCGAATTCACCCCAACCGGTTTCAGAGACTTCGAAGGGAGGCTGCTCAATTGTGCGGACATTCTGAGCGTATGTCTCGTGTAGCTTGAACTGGACTTTCTTTAGCCAGTAGGAGATGTCTTCGCCGTTGACTCCGCGGACGAAGATTTGCCAGCGGTGCGTGTGGTCGGGTGGGCAATCTGCTGGCTTGTTCTCTGGGTCGAAGGGGTGTGCGACACTGCCGAAGACTAGGATTGTTAGCTTGCGACTGTTGGTGATGCGCATTACGCGAACATACCAAATGGTCGGTAGATGGAGATGCCCTGCGAGATTCGCGTTAGTTTAGTTTCGGTTCTCATTTCTGGGATGGAATACTGACTCTGACACGCTTGTTTGCTATTGCTGATGGCATTTTGTAGCTTGAATGGTTTGTAGAAACAGTGGGATAGAATATGTTGAACAAGGGCGGAAATGGCGACTTGCTACACCGCCCGACAGATTCATGCCTGAGGCAAGAAGCCAAGACTTGCCTTCCCGGAGCAGGTGATACCGGATGACGCTAGCTGCGGAAACTTGGACAAGGACATTCTTGAATGACCTCAGAGCTAGCTGGCATATTTTTGAGTTACTTCAGGTCCCTCAATTGCAAGAGTCAACAGACCATTGTTGAGGTTCCAATTCGCCTGAACCAGTGATATCATTACCGGAGCTATCAAGAGCATCAACATGGCCGCCAAAAGATTAGTTGTTGCCGGTGGAAGTGGATTTCTAGGTTTGTTATACGCATCTGCTTTCTTATTGTAAATCATTGCTAATTTGACATTCTAGGGTCCCGAATCTGTAAATCTGCGGCGGCAAGGGGATGGACAGTCACATCATTAAGGTACCTATCCTGGCAATTTATGGGTTTATGGATTTATGGATAATTGTGCACTAACACATCTCTAGTCGCTCGGGTGAGCCACGGTGGGACACAGTCACTGATTCCAAGGAGCGTCCCAGCTGGGCAGGCTCCGTGGAATGGGCCAAGGCCGATATCTTAAAGCCAGAGAGCTATAAGTCGTATTTGAACGGAGCTTCAGCTGTTGTTCACACAATGGGCATTCTACTGGAAGCAGACTACAAGGGTGTTGTGCAAGGGAGGGAGCCCATCATCGGTGGCCTCCAGCGAGCCTTTAGCTCGTCTAAGCTAGGAAGCCAGAACCTTCTGTCCAGAAAAGAGGGTGAGGCCCTCGAGCCGAAGGAGAGAGATGGGCAGTTGACCTATGAGCTGATGAACCGAGACTCAGGTGTGTACAATGGTTCTATTCAGGGCGGGAGATATGTTTGAGAAGCTAACGAATGCCTTGCGCTTGGTATATATAGCCATTGTACTAGCCCAGGAATCCAGTAATGAACATGTCCCGACTTTCGTCTACATCTCTGCTGCTGCTGGCGCACCGCTCCTGCCGGCCAGGTATATCACCACCAAGAGGGACGCAGAGGCAGCCATCACATCCACCCTCCCAGACCTGCGAAGCATCTTCATACGTCCGGGCTTCATGTATGACTCCAGCAGAAAATTTACGCTGCCAATCGCAATGGGTGGTTTCGTCGCCTCGGAGTTCAACGCGTTCCTCCGGAATAAGCTTGGGTTCCTCGGGTCGATGGCAGAGAAACCACTCAAAGTTGATGTTGTCAGCGAGGCGGTAGTCGAGGCATTGGAGGATGAGTCCACTAAGGGCGCCGTCGGAACAAAACAGATTGAGGCACTTGCAACCAAGGCCTGGCGAAAGTCGATGCTCTAGGTCTGGATTGAGTGACCTGGGAATGCTTGTAAAACATGTTTTCGGCGAACAAAATTCGGAGTCATCGATATTCTCGCTAGTTGATTCCTTGCTCTTTTAGGCAAGATGTATAATCCCACCCATGTATCATATCGCAATCAAGTTCAAGTTAAGATTAGATCATAGTGCCACGCTCGAAGCTGTCCCGAATCTCGGTAGTGTACTAGAAAATTGTCAGCATGATTCCCGATGTTCAAAGAAATGAAGCACATAAAAACTCACCTTGTTATAGAAACGAGCCAGCTTCATGTTGAACTGCTTGTTCTTCTCGTTGATGTATGTCACATCAGAATCATCATCGCCGCGACGCTCCTTGCGCTTCTTGAGACGAGCCTCCTCAGCCTTCTGCAGATCATTCACCAGCCTGTCAACAGCGGCACGATCCGGCTTGCTGTCTGTGAAGCCAGTAGAATCCGCGGTGGAATAGAAGCTGCCGTTCTTGTCGACTGCGATCATTTCTCCATCCTCCGTCTCCACAATCTCAAGATCACCGTTAGCCGCGGCCTTCTCAATCGCAGCCATCTTGTCCTTTTCGTATGAGTCCAAGTTGGGCTGCAGTTCCCTCATCTGCCTCTTGTACACCTTGCGCGCATCCTGTGTGTAATCCTTGAATGCCACATCGTCACGGTGGCGCTGTTTCTTTGCCATACGCTTATCCCACTTCTCGGATTCATCAACTGTCCAGTCCCATGCACGCTTACGTTCAAAGTCTTCTCCTGCCGCTTCTGTGTCCGCTTTGAGGAGGTTGTGTGAAGCAAATGCATGCTTGCGGGACAATGTGTTGAGCAGTGCCGGATCCGTGGTCAGACGCTGAGACTCGGCGGCGGTTTCTTTTAAGTTGCGTTCGGTAGCGGATTTCTATTACTCGAGTTAGTATGTGGCTAGGGTAGATGGTTTAAAGTCCACTTACTGCTCGAGCTTGCAGAGCTTTGAACCTTTCCATTCTGTCGCGCGACTTTGAGGCACCATCATCCGCTTTGCTTTCGGCTTTGTTTTCAGAGCTTGTATCGGGGGTGTCTGAAGTATTCTTAATCGGTTTTTCAATCTGTTCTTCGCCCGCCTCGTCCTTTGCGGACTTCTCCGCATTTCTTGTTTGAACCATGCTAATACCCTGTCGGTAAGTAAGTTGATAAGAAGCGATAGTCAAATGGAATTCAGTTTGTGGCAGCGTTGGTGAAAAGCAGGTAGAGGCAGGGTGAAAGCCTCACCGAAGTGTGAATGAGGTCCTCCTCACCGAAGATCGCACCGCCCTTGAAATGCCGGCAGAACCCCAGACTTGACCCCTTATCGATTGTTTATCTTCTCCACCTTTTGACCTCGACGGTGTCGTCTTGTTGGACATGGGAGTTCCACGCCTGCTGTTGCGTAGGCAATGGCTTCCTCAACCCCGTCTGAAGTCGGGATTGACTCGCAGTTTCTACACTCTACCTAAAGCCTCAAAACAACTACACCCATCACCATCGGAATTACTTCGGTTCGCTCTGAGGGACTCAACCGAGCCAGGGCACAACTCAAGCTCAGCTGATGCTCTGCCTGCATATCTTCGTGAGATTTTCAACACCGAATGGAGGCCAAGTAGTCCACCTCCGGCATTGTGGAGTTCTCTCAAAGGGCTTTCCCCATCCCCAGGAAAAGAGGAGATCATCGATGTTCCTTCCCTACGGAGCGCTATTGAAAGATATGTTAATGATAAAAACGGAGCAGAATTCTTGCAAGAAATACTATGTGCGCCGCCAAGTCATACTTTGCAACGTCTTGAACAGCGAAACACATCGACAGAGCTTCTGCCAGTGTTAAGTGACCTTCTTGCAAGGCTACATCGTCTCCAACTTCCAGTCAAGCGAAGTTTTTATTCTATTTGTATTGGATTTGCAATGCGTTATTTGTCAGTGCCAGCTCTCAGGCATTTCTTAAACGACTATTACCGCGTGGGCTTCCCGGCCCTGGATAATCAGCTAGAAATCATGTGGATATCCACTGGCTGTGCTCAACAACTTGACTCAAAATCCTTCGAAGATCCAAGCTATGACCGCAAGCATATGCTTGCTGAGATCACAGGCGAGGGAGACCTTTTACCCCGAAATCGTGTGAGGCTGCATGACATCTTGTGGTGGACAGAAACCGGACAAGATAGTAAGGGGAAAAAAGTCACCAAGCATAATGCGTTCTACCTCTCTCTACTAGCAAAACTTGGGAGTGATAGGGTGCTTCATGACTGCTGGGCTCAATTTGTGACAGGCCTCACGTCTGGCCGCCGTTTCAGTGGGGGTCACGGTATCGCCTACAAAGTGGTGCTAGTACTAATCCAAAGTGGGCGCTCCGAGACAGCAGCGAAGTTCCTCGAAGATGTATCTCAGGTTTCCGGTGACAACCTTCCGGGGATTGCAAGGGTTTCAGCTCTTTGGGCTTTCCTTGACGATCCTATTGTGGGTGATGCATTGCCTGATTTGGTTAGAGGAGAGGACTACCTTGAATTGCTAGAGGTTTGCCTCGAGGGCATGGACCGAAGGATGGGTATACAGTGGGACCCTGAAAGTCAAAGTCACTTCAGCACGTCCTCAGAACCCTCAGACACTATATGGGAGGCATTTGACGAGCAAGCACTACCCATTATTGATCGACAACGCATTGCCTCCGGTCACAGCAGCCAACTATATGCAGAACTTCAAGTCAATGGCTGTTCCAAGTCACCAGCTGCATTGGGGAGAATCGTGGAATTGTTACATGATCACGACGGGCAGTCCCAGGAGATTGTCACTCATCTCGATTACGACGAACTTCGACTTGAGGAATTTCACGCCAAATTCGAATCTCTTGAACTTCGATGGATTCCAGAGTACTCACCGATAGAATTCTCCAACTCACGACTACCGGCGGTACATGACTCGTTGGTACCGTGGACTCCATCTACCCTCGGACTCATTCGGGCTCGCTTGATCGTCGACGGAGTGCCTCAGATGGGGATCAATGCCTTACATTTGATGCAGCTCGGCTGCATGGACATGCGGTATGGTCCGGATCAGCCATGGCAGCCATCCGGATACACCGTGGTTTGGGATCGTCACTACAATGAACTCCTGGCCCTGTATGTCGGGAACGGGAACGGGGTCATTGATTGTGGTCCAGCGCCTTCAAACGGCCCCTTTGGGGCCTTGATGCATATCAAGCTCCCAACCGATCCCCACCGAACATTGTATTCTCCATTTGGTACTTCCACACAGGCTCGAAATTGCTATGGGCCTTACTACCTGGATGTAGATCCAAGTCCAGACTTGGTGTATTAGCCGAGGCAAACAAACGGCAGTTGGGCATGGATGTACAGGGATGCTCTTTTTGTATGTATTGATGTAGCGGTGATGAACGTGATGAAAATTGGCAGAATTTAGACAATGCCTTGCACATTTAACTTACAGGATATTCCATTTTCTTTATCTAAACAGGGGTTCCCCTGTTGCAAATTCCAATTAGCAATGTCAGTCAGCCTAGGGGCCTTGGCCAGCGCACCCGGTCATTTGGGATCCTGATCCCTGCAACGGCGACATTCGGTTCCGGATGATAGGGTTATGGACACGCACCCCGATGGAGCTTCCACGTCTCTTTCGCTATGGGGGCAGGATCAACGGTAAGGGTGGGCATGCCACCAACTTGACATTGATGAAGGCATCTGAACTGTTGGACTTACTCTACTACGAATGGCAGTGTCTATCAGATTATCCGTTCCCGTTCAAGCCATTGGAATCGTTGTGTGACGATGTGCACATGGAAGACCAGATCCTTGTGTTTGCATTGCTGCAATAGCCTGCAGATTTGCAGTGGCTCAGCAAGGCTCCTCAGCAATCCTTCTGTGCCAGCACAGCCAAGTTCCTCGTTGAGGTGAGGTGCATGATACTGAAAACTTTCATGTATGGTACTCCCAGTCCTCTCAGGGTCCGGTGAGGACATTTTACGTTCAATTCCAAGATGCATGAGAACTAACGTCGAAGCCAACAGAGTCAAGGGCCGCATCTGCCGGTAATTACGGAATTTGAAGCTCAAATTTGCTTTGATCAGCTCCAACTGTCGAAATTTCCATTCACACCTGGTTATTAGACGCGACCTTTCGGGGCTGGGCTGTGAAACTCCACAGTACTGTACTCCGTATAATCCGGTGACGGTGAATTACGCAAAGGAGTTTATTAGTGCGTTTTGCGCGGTTGGTCTGCTATCTTGGTCCATGGAACGACTAGCAAGCAGAGCTCAACAAACGCAATGGTGACATCTAGATATAGACGATGCGCAGATCTGCGGCTCCCTAGAAATAGAAACAGCTCTTTGCGGTGTGGCTATAGGATCAAGAGGATGAACGGGGAGTCATTCCCGCGGTACTGCTCTACACGATGTAGATAGGTCTCGTCTGAATGCTATCCTACCGGAGCTTTTGCGTAAACCAAGACGTGATCGGTGGGCTCATTTTGCGTGTTTCTCAGACAAAACAGGCATCGGATCCAAACCTACCGACGCCGAATTAGAACTTGTAATCAGCACGTCACGAAGTCTCAATTCTTAAACACAGACGGTAGCCCTGGAGACTTTTCGTTCTCAATCTTACAAAATATCCATAACCAGATGACTCTCTCGGTCTACTCTGTATCCAAAATCAAAACCCAGTCTCCTGTCTCACGTTCAACATCATCTTTCGCCTTGAAGACTCGAAGATGTCGCGAGCTCGAAAAATGCTCCTCAGGCTGCTTCGCATTTTTTGGAAGAAAGTGCCAAAATACTCCGCCATACTTTGTTTGGATGAGATACTTTGTTTGGATGAGATACTTTGTTTGGATGAGATACTTTGTTTGGATGAGCGCATCTTACAGAAGATCTACCAACACCTCTCACTAGTCGATCAAGTTTGTCTATCCCTCAGCTGCAAAGAGTTCTTCGGCCTATTCGGGACGATAGTGAAGCACAAAGATCTTGAATTTCCACGACTCTTGCGTATTAGGAATCCAATACTGTGCGTGAACAGTCAGGATGTGCAGCGAAATCAACTCCTTCTTCGACTCGAAAATCGCCGCTGGGCCTACTGTGCAAAGTGTTTGAAACTCCATCCACGGAAAGAATTTACGAGACATTTACTGAGACAATCAGCTTGGGAGAGATCCTGCACATACTACGCTGGTATAGCTGACCTATGTCCCTGTATTTCTTTGACGATTCGAGGTCGAGACCAGCTTGTCAAGATTCTCAAGTCACCCGCGACGCCAGCCAAAACCAAATATGGCCCATTCGAGTATGACTTTGACGATGGAGGTACACCCGGCCTCGGCCACACCTGTTTATTTAGCACTAGGTCTGGCTACGATGTCCGCGTTGCTCTGATTTTATTTATTATTAAGGAAACGGGCCAGTTATGTGTAGCGAGTCGGCATACTATAAGCTTCTCCTCCTCCTCCTCCTCCTCCTCCTCCTCCTCCTCCGCTCATCTCACAGCTGAGCCTACTTTTGCTTGTCCTCATCAGGATCTCCTACCTCTCGTCTCCAGGAATCAAGTCGCAGAAGATCCTCACAGGTACCAGACTTTGATTTCTTCAAAACCTCATCAGGATATCCTGTCTCTTGTCCCCGGGAAGCTGGTCTCAAAAGCCTGTCCTATGTGTCCGACTTTGATTTCAAAATACGCTTTGTCTGAAGACATGAATCAGGCTGTTTTCTGGGTGGTTCGAAATCTGGGAAGCTGTGAATGGCTGGCAGACCGTCCTTGGCTTGACCAGTGTCGTCTCACCGGAGCATGGTTTTCGCATAATGAAAAGTACTGGTGAGCTTGTCAAAGGATCCGCGGAGAAAAGAAGAACTATTACTGAAATTCCCCTATAGGTATCGGTCGCAGAACTTGCGGAAGATGACGCAAGGTGTTCACGGTCAGTGGAAAAGGGATTACTGCCTGGAACAGAAAAGAAGGTTGCTTCAACATCAACGCGAAGCCTCACGAACTGCAGATGAGGTAATCCAGGTAGCTGGTACCATCCCGGTGCTGCTTCTTGCAGCGTCGTCTTGAAGAAGGAAAAAGAAACATGATGTGCACTCCTGGGCCAGCTCATTTCTTTTTAAGAGGGAAGACTGATTGAATGAATGATAAATCAATGAGACTTCATTTCATCGCAGTACAGGACAAGTCCAAGCTTCAGCATTTGGCATCCAGCATAGAGAGTGGCGACAATATGTACATGAATTGATGCTGTCACCCTGATAAATGAAGCCCTCATGCCTAGTAGTTCGCCCACCTCCCCATGTTTCCCAATAGGATCGAGTCATATGGCTTCGGCAGGCCCTCGTAGAGCCGCAGCACCTTCTTGTCCGGTGATTTGAATATTCGTCTGGTCAGTTTCGCCATATTTTGTTCCTCTGCCTACCGTTTGGCGTATTTTCCCTTGAAACGCGCCTGCACTGCACTCTTGGCTGGAAGCCAGCCGGACAGCGCCAAGCGGTGGGATCTTTTGCAAAAGAACATAACAAAATGTGGAATAACACAGATTCTGCTATGTTTGCCAATGACTCTTCAGCATCTGCGTCTTCTTATCAATTACCTTCTCCCTTTGTTAACCATCCGGCGACGAATATCACGAGCTATTTCCTTTGCCCTCTCTGCGGGGCTCGGTCTGTATATAGCTCTCCGGCGTCGGCATCTTCTTACTTCTTTGGTATAACCCCAGTGAAGAAGGCTACTCCTCCTTCTTTATTTGGGGCCGTGTCTGCCAACGACTCTTAGACGTCCGCATCTTCTTTTCAGGCAGGTATATTTGTTAACACCATGTGAAGGCGACCAACTCAGAGGAACTGCTGTCAGCGTATGGATGGTTCGTTTATTGCCAATGGCCGAGTGGACAAGTCCTGATCCGCATTGCTTGTGTTTTCGTTGTTCAAAGTTCGTGTAGCAGAAGATCTCGTGCTGTCACCGATGAGTATCAGCGTTTGTGAGCTCATTGACTGAGTTAGCTTAGCCTGCAATTTAGGGTGAACATAGTAGTCGCTTAGATTTTCCAAATTTCTCCTTTCAAAGTCGTTTCTTCCAGCTCTTTCTCTCTCGTTCAGTGTCTAGGCCAATCAGCACTGGGAACGGCTGTCAGCGAATGAATGAATAAAAACTGAATAATAATCGATCACTAGTATCTGATTGCGACAAAATCTGCTCCATATTTATTTGTTTGTAGTATTCAAGATTTACGGGCCGAGTGTGTTACAACCAGTAAGGATATCAGTGATTAACCTGTGTCATTTCACGAAAATAGCAAATTTGGAAAGAGAAGGAAGAGAGAAACCGCACGTGAAGAGGGTCGCATGCTGATTGATCGATTGAAAAATCAAAATGAGCATTTGAAGAAGATTCTGGAACATAATGCAACCTTATCGCGATGTCTGGAGGCTCTTGAAAAGATAAGGGAATCAGCAGGCCCAGGTTATATCTCTGTGTACTTCCGTTTCCTTCACAGGCATGACAAAAAAACCGTCGACGGGGACCGGTGGTTCGCCATTCCAAAAGTCCACCCCATTCCCTGCTGATCTATGAACCACTGAATGCAACTGGAAGCATCAGGCCTGGTTCGACCGTAATCAAAAGGAAAACCATAGTCTAAAGTAAAATCGTGGTCAATCAGATAATGGTGGTCTGGAAGCAGGTATAAATAAAGAGATCCATTTTGTTCTCTTTATTCATAGGCCACAGTCTTCCAATTGTCACCTCGAATTTCTCACTTTTCGCTTTTTACATAGGTCTCGACAGCCTCTCAGTCAGGATGCCCTTCCTGGGAGAAACTGACGGCTTTTTCCGGAGTGGTCAATTGAGACAAATGGTGTCTATGATGAAAATATACGGCGAAGATGTTGCCGTTACGGATGGGACAGAATGCTGACCTCGTTCGGCGTATCGAGTGGTATGTCGCAATGCCAGGAGTATTGTTTCTTTCTTCATGACATTTTGGGCTGGAAGATTTCGGAGCCTGATTCTTTCAAGTCCTGGCTAGCGGACAACGCTGCCCGTTGTTACGGTGAAACGTCAATGCAGGTTGGGGTCGCCAAAGAATTCGGCAAGAGGGTGTGTTCGTTTTACGAACAATATGGCCGTTTACGAGAGTGGTGTGATTGTATCGAACACGGAGCGCTGGTACGAATGCGCGATTTGGAATTGCAAGTCGATGCCAGCATCGATACTTTGGTCGTGCTTTATCGCAAAGATAATTTGCGAGGGTCAAATGGATGCGGGCGCAGAGAAAAAGCAGGAGGCGTTTATTAAGATGTTCTTTAGTGACGAAGGGGTGAGGTGCGTTGCCACAACACAGAGCTTGCTTGAGCACTGGGACGGAAATGTATCCGCGCTGCGGATTGTAATGAAGGTGTCGGTGATTATTGTGATGTATCGTCCCACTTTGTTGTAAGGCCGTGACCGTCATAGCCAATGAGAACTAGCCCTTATGTTTTTGGGATTGTTTGTTAATGCAATGCCCATGCATGGTCCATCCCTGGGGTGGTTCGTAGTTGAACACTGGCGACGACATAATTAGATCATTAGATATGTGCTGTCCATACTAGTGCGGTGTGTATTCTTTCGGCCCGACACAATTTGCTACCTCCAAAAGCCACGTACAATCGTGGCCTTTTCACCGTCACCCCCGATTTACTCCGTACTATTTCTGAGGCTAACTCGTGGCCCACTGTGTTGGCAGAGCATCGCAATGCTTTGTCGGATCCAAGATTGTCCACTCCGTATTCTTAGCGATATAGTGCCGTGGCTTGACGCTTGGGCCCTATCCCCAACCTGCAAGTCCATAGTCCACAGTCCACAGTCCACAGTCCACAGTCCACAGCTGCCTTGCCGATCGATCTGACATGCCCTTGGTCCCCTAATGTGCCAGGACCCAGAGAGGGGCCATGGTCAGAGCGTATGGTGAAACGCTAATTGACTTCCTGGAAAGCCTGGACGACTTTGCCGCCTCACCTTTTCCCTCCGAAAGCTTGCCGGAACTATTACGCCGCAGAAGCAAACTGGGGCTTACACGGCGAGCCCGGTACCAGTTGATCCCCCGTTGTGGGGGCAGATCCAGGTGAACGCCAAGCAACGGTTAGACGCCAACCACGCCTCGCAGCCCCAGCTAGCCACCGTGGTGAAGGTACTATTTCAGCCCAGCTAGTCGGTCAGCATCCGATCGACACAGCGCAGTTCAGAAAATTCGTCAATGAAGCGGAGATCTGAGTTTACTGCACTGCGGAGCACTTTGATTAAAGGACTACAACTTTATGGTCCGCATGGTCCGCCAAAAGGCAGACAAGGACTTTGTTACTGGCTCCAGTTACCCCATCCAAGCCCCATCCTCCACCCTGACGCGGAATGGGTTAAGAACAGGCGACTGGACATGGGTGGCACATAACACGAGCCACTTCATCCCGAAAAGCTTCTCAGCCTGTACGCGGAGTCCCACAATGTGCCAACGGCTTCTGAGGGCTGACCGTCTTTCCAGATCGGAAACCCTCGGGCACCAGTCTCTGTCAGGGACAGACCTAGTAGTTCGTCCAGCTCCCACGCACTAATTTCCATGGAGACACAGCCCACACAGCCCACACAGCCCACAGACGTCCCCTTCCGTGGCAAAACCATGCCCGCTCGGCCCGTCCCCCCTTCGGCTCTTCCCTTTTCATCGTTCATCGGTGGGTACAGCGCCAATCGTAAATGGGTCAAGGCTGTGGTTCTGTTGAAAAATAAGTGTATCTTTGATCCTCCCACTGCTCCCTGTCATCTCCAGCCCTGAGGTGATTGGACACGGGAAAACTGGGGGGAAATTCGCTCTGTGGACGAGTTTTCGTTGAAGCTGAATTTGACCAACGTTAACCCCCGAGGCAAGTATAGATCGGAGCAATTGAAGTCCACCGAGTGTCATGGGGCCCTGCTATTGAAGCTGCATTCACATGCGGCTTATCAGATGCCTTGACCGCAGGCAGATCCAGGATCCAGGATATACATTCATGTTTTTGACGTGTTTCTTCTTTCCCATCTTTGGTCATATATAACTCTTCGGCATTAACTGTGCTCAGTGGGGTCGCATTCAATGACTGTTCAGCTAAAACACCGTCCGCATACGGCAGTACATAAACTATAACACGAGGTCCTGCCCCGGCACAAGTCAATAGATGTCGAGACCACCGCAGGAATATGGGCATCCCGCGCCGGAATGGCCACACATCGACTCGGTCCAACATCGTGCAACACCCATTCCATATCCATACGCGCGACATGAACCTCGACAACTACAGACCCCGGGCTACGAACGCCCTGTGCCCACGGCATCTTTCGCTCCTCGGCTCCCTGCCCTGAATCCTCTTCCCGAAAGAGTAGATCCACGATATACGCTCTCCACCGACAATTCATATATGACCCGACAACCTATACAACCGCTTCAGTTACGATCACATCCATCAATCTTTGATACTCGTGGATACTATACACCACATGAAGAGAGATCGAATCCAATCCTGAACAATGCTCGTGACTATGATAGCCAACGGAGCCGGCACTACGACCTGGAGTCCCAGTAAAGTCCCTCTCTTTTCATTTCAACCATCTCTATCTGTCAGTCATCCTGGCGCGATGTTTTTGGCTTCAACTCCCACATTCTATCTGATGTCACATCTGTGACGAGTCACACAACGGAAAATCATTAGCACAAGATTCCATTCTAATACTCCAGAAAATCTATATAGACACAGCAGCAGTTCCACGGCCATGCCCAGCCCAGTCTGGTCAGACAGAAGCGCAGCAACCTACTCATCAAACCTGATTCTACCCAGCGCTCAACAAGACTCGAGGCAACCCCGGAATGTAAACTACAGAATGCCCCACGGCTTCGACAAGCTCCTCCACCACGAACCAGAAGCGGAATCTCCCCCAACACCCCCAAGACGCCTTTCAACCCAATCCCGCTACCACCTCCACGTCCGCCAACAACCCATAGCAGCACGAGCCTGCGGCGCAGGCGACCGAGACCGCCGCCCCGTCGACCCACCCCCAATTGTCCAAATTCTCCTCAACGACTTCGACTCCAACTCCCAAGAAGACAGCGACATCCTCCAAGACCCCCGCTTCACAGTGGGCTGCCTCCTCTTCCCCGTCTCGCCCCAATCACCATGGTCCGAACCCACGGAATCAGATACCCGAGATCTAGATCAAGACCGAGTGAAAGATAGAGAAAAAGACCGAGATACAGACGGCGTCGCAAGAACAGACGATCCCTTCTCAACACCCCTTCTCTCAGGAAAAGCCTTCATGTCCCCCTTCTACGTCGAAGCAGACCCAGACCCAAACTCCGCTCCCCCACACCCATCCTCAATAAACGATCCCCGTCTCTCCAGCCCGTCAAACGCATACAACCACCCTTCCGCGCGCCTCCACCAACCCGCTACATTCTTCATTTTTGCCGATCTCTCCATCCGCTCCGCGGGTCTATACCGGCTCCAGTTCCGCCTGATGAATTGGGGTTCTGTTGAGGATACGGGTCAGTCGATGCCGATCCTTGCGGAGGCGTGGTCGGATCCGTTTCGGGTTTATCCTGCGAAGGATTTCCCGGGTATGCGGGATTCCAGTATTCTTGCGGAGGGGTTGAAGGAGCTTGGGTTTGTAGAGTTGAAGACTAGGGGACATGGGAAAGGGAAGGGGAAGAAGAGGCGGTGATCTTTTTTTTTTTTTTTGGGACTTGTTGGGATCTGTTCCCATCTTTTGGTTGGGTTGGGTTAGAGCTGAGTATGATGGACAATTTGAGGGGATGAAATAGGCTTGGCGTTTGATCCTTTCTATCATATCGGCAGGTTTTATCTGGTTACTTTTCCTGTCTGTTACTCTAGGTATGGATGCATTGCATGAAGTGAAAGATGGGGCAGGGTTAGATGGAGATTTTACTAGGGCGTATTCCAACATGAATGAATCAAGATTGATCAAAAGAGACCGAATGTGTATAGACAAGATCAATTCAAGATCGGAAAACAAGAATATGCATATGGTATAAAGTAATGTACAGAAATGCAATGAACGGCTAGTTCTAGAAAATCGGCATAAGCTTTTCCACGATCTTGTCCATGGGCGGAGTATATTCTGGGTTGTTCCAATTATCTTCCAACTCGAGCAATCCCTTCTTCGGCAGCACACCTGGAAGACCGTAAGCAGCAGCTTGGTCGTACATCTTGCGACTCTCGTCCATGAGGCCATCCTCACGGAAGAGCAATGCCAGAATCAACGCGGATGCGCGATTTCCTCTGCTCATGGCAAGTTCGTGCCAGTCCATTGTAAGGGTGCGATATTCACTGGGCCCCATAGGTTTATTCCACTTGGAAAGGAACAGAGGTATGCGATAGAAGGGGTTGAATCTTTTCCAGGGATCTTTCAAATCGTTGCGCCGTGACTCTCTCGACTCCATTTGAAGCTGCCTCTTTTCAGGGCTGGGGATGTCGCCTCGTGATATGCGGTAGTACCAGTTGGCAAGGTAGAAGCAAGCTTTGTCGTGGCCGGCCGTGGCAGCCATGCCCATGTACTGTTCGTACTTGTCAAGTTCCTCCCACGCATTTTTGTTGTTCAAGTATGCTAATTGGAGTTCGTCCCTATCTGGCCTGTTGGCAAGAGCAGAGATCGCCATCTCAGTCAAAGCAACTGGCTCGCCGAAATCCAACGCAGCGCGAGTCATGGCTTCCTTCACCTTCTCCGGGTCGTCGGCGTTGGCAAGAGCGTAGAGTCGCCAGGGCGACGAGACAGTCCCATCCAGGGTAATATCCGTCCATGGTTTGGGGATAACCCGTGTGGATGTGATAAATGGAAGGATTCTCTCCTCTAAGATCTTGCTGGCTTCTTTGTTCTTGCCACGCCAGGTAAGGAGCTCCGCCCATACCATGATCGCGGGAGGAAAGTCCTCCTTCAGAGCAAGCTCCTGGACCTGCATGGTCCACTCGTTATCTCGGTGGATATCAATACCGTCAAGTCGCATGTATCTGGACACGAGGATAACAAGGGCTCGACGGGACTTTGCTTTCGCGCAAGCAGACTGAATCCATTCGCGCAAAGCATAGTTGCGGCCTGCGACGATGTGCCCAATTCGATAGACAGCATCAACGTCTGTAACAAGTAAATGTCAATGATGAGTCTACGTTCTTCAGACGATAGATGAGAGCAAAACTTACCTATGGAGATACTCTGAATGGCTGCCGCGGTAGGGCCCCCAGAGTACGCCGCCTTGATCAGCTGCTCGCCCACAGATTTGAACGTAGTGAGGTCAACTCCGGAAGGCAACATGCCACTAGCGGCTTCATAGGTCTCCTTAACTTTGGCTTGGAACTCCTTGGTTTCCTTAACCCCGCCTCCTGCGATCGAGAACGCGGAGAACCCGTCACGGTCGAGAGGCAAGTTTTGCTTGCTTCTTAGCTGCCTCTTTGCTTCCCTCTCATGACGAGGACTGTGAAGATGTGGTGTCTTTCTTCCGCCAACGATCGATCGAGATTGAGTAGTGTGGAATGGTCGTTTCGTCGTCGCAGGTGCGGTTACATTGTTGACGGCGGGAGCTGCGCAAGCTGACAGCCTCGGATTGCGCACGCCGTGTACTTTCGGATTAAGGGTATGGCATATTTGACGCCATTGTACCAGCGATGGTGAGGGTCTAGTCATGAGGTTGGAGTTGAGGAGGAATGTTGGAGGTGGTTGTTGTACTGAAATTTTGGAGTCGGATTCGGGGAACTTGGTCTACCTCGTCACTGGATCCCGGACAACATCCTACATTTACGCTGTTTCTAAGGATACCTTGCATTTACAGAATTTAATATAAAACAAAGTAATATCAGAATGCTAAATGCATCAATTAACCAAAACAGCCCTCTGTACCAGACGGTCCCAGAATACAATGCGTATAATGTACATTTTGCGTTGATCTACCAGGCCAACAACAAGTAAAAGCCCAAGAGGAGCCTCAAAACAAGGAGCAAAACCGGAGAAAATCAAAAGCAAAAGAAGAGTTCCGCAGTCAGCATCCCTCTCCCCATCCTCCTAAATAAATAAACAATTTTTACTCCATAATAGCCTTAGCGCCCAGAGCCTTGAGCGTCTCAATAATCTTCTCTGCCTCCTCCTTGGGCACAGACTCCTTCAGAACCTTAGGCGCAGACTCAACGAACTTCTTGCTGTCCACCAGCGACAGACCGAGCATGGTCTTGATCTCCTTGATGACCTTGGGCTTGGAGGCAGCCTCGAACGACTCGAGCTTCAGGTTGAACAGTGTCTTCTCGGCGGCCGCGGGGGCAGCCTCCTCTTCCTCAACGGGAGCAGCGGCTCCGGGGGCGCCACCACCGGCGGCCATGGCGAAGCCGCCAACGGGGAGGTCGGGGATGTTCAGGCGGGTCTGTTGGTAGATTGGTTAGCAATGATTCCGTACAGCATTGAATGCTGCAATTGAAGATTCCAAGAGTTGGAATTAGGTACATAACGCATATCCTATATCTCCGAGCCCAATTGCCAATGAAATCCACAAGAAAGGAGAAAAAGATATCAAACGCACCTTCAAGCTAGACACGAGGTCGGCAGTCTCGAGCAGGGTCAATGTGCTGATCTGGTCGACAATCTGGGCGATCTTGGGGTTGGTAGGGGCAGCCGCAGCAGGGGCAGCCTCGGTGGACTCCCATCGCCGGCTGCTGGGTGTGCGACGGGCTGTGAGGTATGTAGCGGAGGTCGCGATGCGCAGGGAGGACGGGCGGACGGAGCCGGAGAGCTGTCTGCAGCAGCGGGCTGCGGCCTGGGTGGGGAAGGACATGGCGGAGGCTGAGATGAGGAGGAAATCTCCGGAAAGAGAGGATTAATACACAGGTGGTGGGGAATGGAATTGGAGGCCTTGTTGATAGAAGTAAAATCCCCTTCAGGAAAATCCAACTTCGGGATTATGTCAGCGGGATGCTGCGATTGCTAGTCCTAATTAGGAATTTTGGGGCCTGAGGCGGGGTTTTTACATGCGCTCGTATGGATACATGTAGTTGTTCATTGAGAATAAGTTACTTAGGTGCTCACTCCGGAGGAATATGAACTAAGTTGGAGGAGGATAATATCCAATTTACATGGTTCTCAAAAAGTGTAGCTATACACACCACCTTTTTTTCTCGTGAATCGTCCCAGAGAGGCCACTGCTTCCCCTCCTCTCTTCAATATTCATCTTCTTCTTTATTTTTCATGTAATCTAGTCCTGGTCCCAGTCACCACCACCCTGCGGCATCTTGGGTCCACCCGCTTGCCGAGAGACGATGATCTGGTCTACGCTCAGCACCGTCCGGGCAGATTCACTGGCCAGACGAATAGCGGAGGCCTTCGAGGCCATGAGATCTAGGATACCCTCCTCAACGGTATCAAGTGTACCATCGGCGGAGCCCTGCTCAAGATCCACACCAGTGGTCCAGTAGGGGTCTTCCTCTTCGGATGAGCTGCCCTCCTCTTCTTCGGATGACTCCTCGGTGTTGGAGGCGCGGTGGTGTGCGGTGTACAAGCGAGAGAGAACCTCGGTGGCATCGAGACCGGCAGACTCAGCGAGTGTGCGGGGAACAACCTCGAAGGCTTCGGCGTACTTGCGGATGGCGTGCTGGGGCAGACCGGGGGTCTTGTCGGCGAAGTTGGAGATGCGCTCGACGAGCTGGATCTCGGTGGCACCGGCACCGGGGACGAGGCGGGGGTCCTTGGTGATGGCCTTGACGACGTTGACACCGTCGTCAATGGCACGCTCGACGTCCTCCAGGTGGTTCTGGGTGGCGCCGCGCAGGACAATGGTTGCTGTGCGGGTAACCGCGTTGGCGTCTTCCTGGCGGAACACAGTGACACGGTCACCGCCAATTTCGGTGGTCTCGACAACATCGACTTGGCCCATCTCATCGGGCATGGGGGCACCCAGACGGGCGAGGGGTGTGGCACCGACAACACGGCACAGACGGCGGAGCTCGAACTTGGACAGAATCTTGATGACCAAGATGTTGAAACGGTTGAGGTAGTGCATGGCCAGGTCGCCGACAGTGGAGCCGGCAACAACGACGCGGAGACCGGAGTCGTAGAGCTCCTTGATGGCAGTCTCCAGACGCTCCTCCTCACCCTTGGTGAAGTCCACCATCTCCTGGGCGTTCTTCAAGAGGACTGTGCCCTTGGTCTCGGTCTGACTGATATCGAGGGGGCAGCTGAAGACACCGACCTTGGCGCGGCTAGCAGACTTGATAACCCCATCGGGCTCACGGCCAAACACCATACCCTTCACCACGCGGGATTGTTCCAAGCTACCACCCATGATCTTAACGACTCGTACGTTGTCGACGTTGAAGTTGAGGGGTTCTTGGGCAGGACGGCCAGGACGGCCTCAGCAACCAACGCAGCCAGAGTATCCTCGTTGCCGGACTGCTTGGCGGCGATAACTGTGCGGAGAGCCTTGCGCAGTTCCGTTGCCGAGCGCATCTCCTGGAGTCTGTCGACCTCGAGATCTAAACAAAATCAAACCAAATCAGTAACCCCACCAGATAAATATTGACCAACACTTACCCTCTAGAACCTTCAAGGCGAAGTTCTGGGCCTTCTCGTAACCGGAAACAATATCACTCGTCTTCAACCCCAGACGGATCAACTCCTCAGCTTTCTTGAGGAGCTCACCCGCCAGGACAATAACCAAGTTGGTAGCATCACCCATCTCCGCATCCTGCTGTTGACTGGCCATAACGAGCAGCTTAGCGGCGGGATGCACAACATCCAACTCGCGGAGGATAGTAGCGGCGTCGGAGGTAAGGATCATCTTCTGCAGGTGGTTGATGACGATCTTGTTGCGGCCATAGGGGCCCAGGGAGGTCCGGACGGTGCCCGAGATAGCCTGGCAGGCTTCAATGTTACGGATAACGGCTCCATCTTCGGCATCGTGGCTGCATGAGAAACACAGGACTCGTCAATTGATCTGCTTCTTTTTGGAGGGGGTAACAGATAAGGAGGTCGCTCTTTGCGGTGGGCGGGTTTTCGGCGTCTCTCCTTGGCTTTCTACTCACCTCTGGTACCCAGGCTTGAAGAGCCCCGCCTGAGAGGGACCTGGAATTGATAGCGACATAATTAGATGTCGCGTCCGAGAGAGATGCGACGGGGTATGAAAGGGGTTGATGTAAAGGAGTGGATGGAGCTGTTGTGCCGGGCAATTTTTGGAGCTGCGGTGGTGGGTTTGCTCCGTTTGCACGAGGGGGAGCCCGCCAGTTGCTTGGCACTGGAGTATATAGTTGATCAACGAGCAACATCACGTTATTGTGACGGGATTATCTTCTTTCTATGTATGTCATGGGAGACGTTCATATTCACGAATGTTTCAAACTAATTCTATTGTACACGTTGAGTCCTAGTTACTGGCAGTAGTCATCTCAATAATCCATGCGCCATCGAGTCATAAGCACTGCGGAATCCAGGCACTGCAAAGTCAGTATGTATTATAAAACGAAGAAGGAATCCCTTACTGTATCCTTTCAGAGAACTGCACCCATTTTCCTCGTAGATTCCCTCGGCCTTGGTGAGCCTATTCAGTATTAGATTAGTTACGAGCATGTCAACAATAAAGACCATCTTACCATCCTTGAATGGCTTCCATTCTGTTGTAGCTCTACTCCCAAGTTAGCAATTATATCAACCTTGGCGAATGTCTGAACATACCGAAGGGTGGGTCGACATGAACTGCGGAGGAGTCTGTTTCTCCTGCTCCTGCATACGAGCCCATCTAGTAGATATTAGCGGCATTCAAGACAGCAAATCGGTCTTGGATGAGCTTACAAACTGACAGCAGCCTCCGGATTGAAACAGGCCTTGGACATCATCACTAATAACACAGGTCAGTTAATGGTCACAATTTGATACCAGGATCAATATGCATACTCAGTCCAATATTGTCCGCTTCAGCCTATTAAGATAGTTCGTCAATTAGCACCTCGTAGACAGTATATAAACATAGGTAGGACACCCAATCTCACCTCTTGCGTCCGCGAATTCGGCAGACGATACATAAGATTCAGTAGCATAGAAGACAACTGCCCAGAGACATCAAAGAGAAAAGAAAGAGCGAGGACAGCCCCCAGCGTAATAAAGCTATTACTCATGCGTTCGGCAGGATGATGGGCCACAACATGTGCAATCTCATGTCCTAACACAGCAGCTAGACCATCCTCATCTTTGCAGATAGGTAAGATGCCAGTGTAGACAAAGACCTTGCCCCTAGAAGAAAAGACATATTAGCAACCAACAATTAGAAGAAATATTAACGAGAAAGTATAGTAGAAACAAATTCTAATCCGAACCCCAAACTTACCCAGGAAGAACAAAAGCATTAGCCATCCCATCATCCTTAATAACATGAACCTTCCAATTCGCCCCCTCAATAGCCGCCTGCGGAATCAACCTCCGCAAAACTCCATCCACCATCCTCGTAAGAGGATGGTAATCAGGAGGACCTTTCCCCTCTCAGATTGAAGAACCTCACGATAACTCTCCTCCCCCATTTTCAGTTCTTGCGAGCTAGATACGCAATTGAAGCGTCTTCGGCCGGTCATCTATATCACACACAAAACATCACATGTTAGCTTCTGACATGCTTCAGGTAATCAGTGTAATATGTAATATGTAATATGCAAATAAAGGTCCGAACCCTCGTCGACACTTATACTGTAAGTTATGTCTTGTGTCTTGTCTTACCTCAACAGTATCCGTATTGTACAAATAAACTCCCGAAATCCCAACCCCGATAGCAACAAAATGTCCCGGTTTGGCATTCTGCACGAGTCGAAAGACGAGTGGTTGGCGCGTTCCGCCTCCGAAGCGGTTGTAGCGGTTTTGGTTTCCGAAGTTGGAGCTGTGGGTTGAGGTGAAGGGTCGGCGGGTTGCTGGGTTGGTTTTATGTAGGAGATTATATTGACTGGGGATGTGAGGCCTTGTGCTTTGGAATGAGAATGGGCGCTTTGGTGCTATTTGCAACAGGGTGCGTGTGGAGGGTGCTTGTTTCGGCGATAAGGATGCGCGTTTGGATGCGAATGCGCTGCGGAGGGCGCGGGATGTGTGCTGGGTTAACATGGTTTTGTATGTTCTAACTGTTCATATGCATAGGTGTTTTGGGTGTAAAGAACGTAGGATTTGGTTTGAGGCCGAGGTGAAAGAGGAAGTCGAGGTATCTCGGACTTGGGTGAGCCGGCGATAAGCATCCTTATCGGCTGTAAGCTTAAACCCGCTATAGTTCCAACGCAATAACACTCATAGATGTAAGAAAGGTATTGACTTGAAAAAAAGTAAAAGTAAGTAATAGGTTCAGATGAAATTATGCAAGGCTATATATATATAAAACAAAAAGTCAAGTTCCAGTAAATCGTCAGTCACAATAAGTATATGTTCAAAAAGCCAAGTCACACCAAAAGAGATTCACCAAGATCGAAAAACCAAAAAACCTATCCCACCGGCGCGCACCATAGCCGAGACCAAGCAGAGCAATTACATAGAAACAGAAAGATATGTCCAGAAGCAGCACAAATCCAACTGGGGTGAGCAGAAACACATCAAGAACAAAGGCCCTGGTATCATGCTGCGTAGTCATGGTGGGAACAAAATGGTATCATAGGGATAGAAAATAAAAAGAGAAACATCAATAACAGGAAGAGGGGAAGAGGCATGGCAATAGGGGAAGGGGAGATGTAACTCATGGACTCGTGGATAATCGAGACCGTAATATGAGATGAAACAGGCAAAACGTATCAAAGAAACCGGAAGGTGTTGGTATAGGATAAGGGAAGGTAGAGTAGGTAGAGTAGAATCATCCTCACTCCTCAGTCAAAGCGTCATCACCGGTCTCACGCCAGTCCTGAGACCGCTCGGTCAACCGACGAACACCCGAGACACGCTGAGCCCAGTGTGCTTCAGAAGGTGTGCGGAATGTGTAAGCACGCTGGGAGGAGATCACGCCGATACTCTGCAGCACGGCCTTGCGGGAATCACGACCAAACACAGCCGGGTGGTTAATCCACTCGAGGGAAGATTCGAGATCGGCATTGAGGGCAGTCATGGTCTGGGTATCGACAGACGAGGCGGGAGTAATGGTATTTGTCTCAGATGCCGAGGAATGTGTCTCACCGAAAGTCGATGACTTGGGGGAGGATGAGATCGGGGTATCGCCGCGGCTGCCGGCGTCACTGCCTGGAGGACGGGAAGCACCTGGTGGCAGGGGAGGTAGGCCACCCTTGCCTAGACCTTTGAGAATGCTTCGGGTTTCGTTGAGAAGGTGCATGGCACGGTCGTGCTGGCCGCGGGAGACCAGAGTTAGGGCACGAGTCAGCATGTCGGAGGTAAGAAGCTCCATGCGACGCTGCACGATTGAGGGGTGAGGTGGGATTGGCGGGGTCGAAGGGCGTCCGCCCTTGGCTCGCGGGTTCGGGGGGAGCATGGTGATGGCGAGGAGGGAGGGGCGAGGGGAGTGGGTGAGGTGGCCGTCGCGGAGGAGGTCGCCGTAGGTGAGATCAGCTTGAATGAGGGGAACCTCTTCGACGCTGACCACGCGCTGCTCGTCGCCGTCTGGACCGCCACCGAGGGCTTCAAGCCCGGACACAAGGCTTTCCCATGGATCCTGGGGCATGTTGTCCTGAGTAGCGTTGTCGGGTTGGATGACGAGCTGGACTAGGACATCACGCTTGTCACCGAATCGGAGATCTCCAAGTGCTGCCTCGGCGTCCTTGCCGGTTGCACGTTTTGTTGTGTGGAAAGCACCGCTAATCTTAACAAACTTGGCTGGAGATCCTTCTGGTAGGCGGAGCTTCAACTTGACATTTTGGTGGGAAGTTGTCTGCAAAGCACCCAAGCATCCGGCAGTGCATTCTCGCAGCATCATCCAATCCTTCACATACAAGTAAGAGCCCTTTGTGCGAGTGGAAAGCTCAATCATTGTGTCGGGCTTGTGGGTCAGGCCGAGACCGAAGGAGTGAATGTTGACCTTGGCGGCTTCCGCACGAGACACCACAAAATCGACACTCTCGGGGTCTGAGATGGAGGAATCGCTGATAAGGAGAATGGTGGAGACGGGGTTGTTGAACTTGCGCTGCATCAGAAGATCCATGGCCACGTTGGCGCCTTCGACTACATCTGCTCGCAGACTCTTTTGGCCAACCGGCCGGATCGATTCGAGGATCTTGGGCCATCCAGCCCATGACTTGGTGGTCATACCCACCAGGGGCACACCACCGCCACTTGAGCCGAATGTCACAAGTCCCATCCGGTCCCGGGGGCCAAGGTTCTGAACGAGGAACTTGAGGGCATCGCGCAGGAGAGTAATCTTCAAGCCTTGCATGGACGAAGATACGGGAATGACCACAACGATATCGAGAGGAATGTGAACAGTGTTGATAGGAGGAGCTTCCGTATCAGGGTTGGTGTAGTCCGTAATAGCGGTATTGTTAGACTTGGATGCACCGTAGGATGAGTTGATAGAAGCTTGCCGCCGGATTCGGTTGGTACGGTAATCATCCTCCTCAGCCCCAGAGTTGTCATAGTCATAGTCATTCTGGCGCGAGATGTTTTCAACAGGATGCAAGTCGATCAAGGAACGACGCCACATCTCCAGCTGGTTGCGGTTCTGGAAACGCAGGTAGAAGCAGGGTAATTCGTTGACAGAGAGGTTCAAAGCGAGAACGGGTTCATCCGAGGAAGCCTCAATCGACTTGAGATGCTTCTTGATCAGAATCGAACCCTTGAGGGAACACCGGACAGGCTTGCGTCGTCCACTCTCATCAAACTGATTTGGATCGGACGATTTCTTCTCCTTGACACAGATGAGCATCTCCCCGAACAAGTAGCATTCCAATTCCTGCCAGGAATCCCGATCCTTGCCCACGCGCATGTGTCCATGGAGACGCAACTTGCCAAACCGGGGGAACTCTAGGCCATGCCAATTGTCCACCCGATTGCGCAATTCCTCCGCAACCTCATCCAAATTCTCCGTCGGCTCATACTGAATAGACCGGGCATCCTGTCCACCGTACCGCCCCGTATATGGCTCATCAGGCTGTGACTGGCCGGATGGCGTGTGCCGCAGATCCTCCACATCAGGGCGCCAATTAGCTTCTGGCACCTCAACCGTAATCAAACACGTGAGAGTCTGTTGTTGGCGAGATCGGTTCATGGTAGGGAACTCGCTGCGGACGGTGACGATCGGCGCGGGAATAGGGTTCTTGGCGACCCCCGGGCGCGCACTGAGGTCCGATTCCATCGCCTGCACATCGTAGTCATGGCGTCGCCCACTGCTGGTATGCTGGCCTTCAGTGTATTCGCCGGAGGAGCCGGCCGCACTGCCATTGCGGGAATGCGGTTGACGAGGGTGAGAGGCGACAGGCAATCGTTCCACGCGCTCGCGCTGGCTGCCGGTGTCGCGGCTGTCGCGCCGGGTGTAGGACGGATCTCTTGAGGGATTGTAAGATGGCTCTCTGGCGGATGGATTATAAGAAGGCTCTCGCGTGGCGGTGTAGCGACTTCCTGAGTCACTTGGTGGTCGTCGGGTCGACTGCTGCTCCCACGGGGTAGTGGTGGTCAAACCACTCCGCATGGTCGCGCTGTCACTTCCCGTGACTGAACGCACGATATTACTGATTTTTTCTGTCGATCCCATCAGTCCCTGTAACTCTGAAACTGGGATGTGGGACACCTACCTATATCCAAAACATTGCCACCGCGACTCGTGTCCAAGGCCAACGGCGCATCACACGTGGGGCAGTATTGTCCGTCGCATTCCCTGAGAAATTCGTAGAAACAGGCCTCATGGGAGACATGTGAGCAGGATAGCTGGAGGATACGCTCGCCTCGTAGGGTATGTTCCAAGGGTTCCTCGCAGACGGCGCATTCACTGCCGATGAATGTCCTCTCCCGCCGGGTGCGGGTGCGGTCGACCTCCATAGGGCCGGTTTGTCTTCCGGATCTTGAATGAAAGGATGCTCGTGAGCGATTTGAATGCGCAAGCTGACCAGACTCTGGATAGCCGGAGTGAATAGAGCCGGCAGTCGGTGCTCTTGGGGCGAAGTCAGTCTGATTGGAAAGACTACTGGATGGTCGTTCTACCACGCCTCGAGTGAATGAACGGAATGAACGGAGGGGAGAACGAGAGTCCGGTTGTAATTCTGATTGTAATTAGCACGGTGGGGGGAAAATACAGGGCCATGTGTGAAGAACTCAGGGGATCGGGGCTTTATTCCAGGATCAAGGTCTCAGATTCAAATCCGATCTAATGAAACTTACTTGACTTTTTCCGACCTAGGAAGCCCAGCTCAGTCAGTTGTTGAGTTGAGTTCCCAGACTTGGAGTCCGATCTAGGCGAACGTTTCCACATGGACTCAGAAGGGTGGAGATGAAAGAAAAACGAGAGAAAGGGAGAAAGCCAAAAATAATCTAGTCAGAGGCTAAAAGGGGGAAAAAGAGTAGGGGAGGCTAAATGAATAAAAAAGGTACAGACTTACCCACTTGGAGCCATGGTGCATGTTCTGCTAGACGGTGGAGTAGCTCCCCCTGGAAAAAGGAGAATGGCAGTGGCCTATGGAGTCCAATTCCACTATAACTCCGTATAGACTAAGGATCTATGAAACCTATCCAGTCTGGCTTGAATTTCCGATAGCCCTGGACCTCCATGGTTCACGCCTCCAACTCTCCCAAAACTTAGTTGTGAAGTAACTAGTTATTATCTCTTATTTTCTCTTATTTTCCCATATTTTGCTGCCTTTTCTTTAATCACCTTTTTGTATACATTTCCTTCATTTGATTTTTTTTTCTTACTTATTTTTTATAGAATATCAAATATCTCCCCGGTAAACTTCTCTCTCTCTCTCTCTCTCTCTCTCTCTCTCTCTCTCTCTCTCTCTCTCTCTCTCTCTCTCTCTCTCTCTCTCTCTCTCTCCGGTACGACCCCGATATCTTCCGCTAAACCGAACAGTTTGGATAGCGATTCCCATGGAAGCGCGTTTAAGCATGTCTGTAACCTTGGAATCACCCCCAACCCAATCTAGTCATTGGTGGCAAACTCGGAATATGTCCAGCTGATGTTTGCCGATCATCGTTACCTGTCAATGGCATCTCTGGTTCCGTGAGATTTTCCAGAACATCTCCAATTGTGCAATGACGTTCTTCCCCAGTCCCATAAGTTGTGCATTCTGCATCCTATCACCGTTTCCCATCCGGGCATGATCGACACGAAACCCTTCGACCTCCTCTGGGTGGCGTTGATTACTCCGCACCTCCAATGATCGACCGGAATTGGTACAGACAATCAACTCGGCTAACGGTACTTGAAGTCTCTCTATACTAACCGATATTATTTACTGTCTCCTTTCCGGATCTCCTATCCAGCCGGCTATCCGTCTCCACAACACGGGCAAGTCATCGTCCCACCTATACCCATTAGCGTTGTAGAAGCAGGGAATTGGAGAGAAGCCGATGAAGCTAGGGGTAATGGATTTGCACATCGCTATCTCAATGTCCCGTTTATGGATCACCTCCTAGACCAGCAAAACAGTCGTCAGCGGCGAGGATCGACACGGTCCTGCTTTTTGGGCGCAGGGAATGTCTGTGCTGGCGTTAGTGTGTCGTCCATTGTCTCAAAATTCCGAACTGGGGTCTAATTCGGTACATGGCTGGCTGTGCTTGGCTATTGGAATACCGTGAGGTGATGATGGACAGTTTCTTCTTACTAGGAAAGGAGGGTGGTTGATATTGGATCTATCGCCCACGAGCGTTGGCTCGTGTTCTGCACGTCAGTCGGGAAATTAGCCCGGCACCTCCTTGCTGGAGCTGTCACGGATGGGACCTGCGTGGCATATATGACAGCTCATTGTCTTGGTCTGTAGATCACTATCCGTAAGAGCACTTTGAAGCGATTCTACGTCGTGTTCCCTATTTCAAATTCCATCCTTATCCCCCCCTTTCCAGCCTCAAAAATCGGCTTCGGTGATATAACCTTATACACCGTCCTTGCAGAGATCACCTAATGATCATCGCCGTTGGAGAGATTCCAAGATGGAGATGTAATGTACATCGTTAGCTCTAGCCCGTCAATCCCCTACAGTCCGCCTTCTCTCCAGAACCCGTGTTTCAAAATCCGAGTTGATCACCTAGCCAACACGTCCAAATGACACATACAAACGAGACTACAGTAAACACAACGCAACATCTACATCTAACTACTGGCCACATTTCCAACATATAGAGTTCACAACTGAAACACGCTGGGCAACAACCCACTACAACTCCCATTGGCCAGGGAAACCCCGGCCCTACCAACTCGCATACAAAAAAACCTCTCTCGGATGATCCAGAAAATCACAAATAAAAAAAGACAACTCGGATTGACGTCGAATGCAAATGTAAATGCAGACATGTAAGCTGCACAGTCACAGAACTGGCTGTCCTAACTCCTTTCGGGCTGGTAGTCCCACAGTCAAGGGTTGCCCAGGAGGGTACAGCCTGCATTAGTTATGCGCCTAGTATCCTAGTGGACTTGTCTTATAAGCCTCCGCGGACGCCAAGCGCCGGTATTATGTACATTTACAGTAACTTAGGCATCTGGCCACATATATTATAGGGAAGCATGTGCCTCGGTGGGTTTATGCTCATCGCGTCAATCAGGCTGCGACCGACGGTACGAACTGGTCATGCAATGCATTGGTTTACTGTAACCGTTTATAGTGGTTGCTCCACTATTTTGTTATTGCAAGATTTTCCTTTTCTTTCCTTTTATTTATCTTTCCATTCCTCCGAATGCAATTTGACTTCGTCACGTCACATCTACTAATCCTTCTACAGTACATGATAGATAATTCTTAGTGACCGGATCAGGAGCAGAATCATACGTGAAACAGACCCAAACTGGTCTCGTCTACTGAGAGAACATGTCGGTAATTATCCGCTTGGTCTGATTATAATTGGGTTCCTCTGTGCTGGGACCGAACTGATTGAATCTGTCTCAGCAGCCCGATTGCCTCGTCAGCTGTTTCAATATGTCTACGATGGATAGTTCGTGGTGTAGATATTGTAATATCTGGGAGTAAGTGTTTGGGGGTTAACGTTATTACATGTATATGTTATGTTAAGTTAGGTCTTTGGGGTTTCTGTATTGGGTATAATTTGTTAATTTACTCGATAAACAGGAGTCAATGCACTAACTCTGAAATAGATCGTAAGTTGACCTGATCGGAATTTTCTTGTGTAACTTAAAAAATCTCTATCCGTTTGTTTCCCGAAACAACGGTATACGCGCATAGACACAGTCAAGATCTATCACTTTTACCTGCGGGGTCAATTCCACGTTCCGGGCTGTCTATCACGAGGTAAAGCTAAACTATTTAGACATGTGACATCGTGGCCTGTAAAAGTTGAGCTTATGTCGAGTATGCACGACGTATCGATTTTGCCGTGGGTGCTTTGCAGCTGTCGACAGTTGGGGCGGATCATCCTATTCTAATTGTGATGTATCGATTTTACACTTGTTCTATTCAGTGTGTTGTCAAGACTGTCCTGTTGACTCGTGCTAGTACACTAGTCTTTGTTCAGTGGGGTTGATCCGGTTGGCTCGTGGAAGACTGATATATCATATGTTATCAGCGTGCACACCCTAAGGCTTTGACCAGATCGAGCTAATCAAATAAACAGGGAGATCATGTCAATGGGAATATAACGCTAACGTTACTGGCAAGATAGTAACTATTCCCCAACCCCGGATCAATGAAATGCAAAACATAGTTGCACAAAGGAGTCTTTCCAGATAACTTATGCTTCACTTATCTAGATTCATGTTACCAGGCAGCGTTTTAAACTTCAGTGTCACCCTTAAAACCATACAAGCAAACTTATTCTTTATCAGATTCTAGATCTGTACTAGGAGGTGTTTCCTAAAATTTATCATTATGGTTCTTGCCGTCACTTCCTCTTACACTTACTCATCTATATCTGTGCCAGAGGGGTGTATTGCAAGACTAATCTGTCCAAAAAGACCTATGCAAGGCTCGCTAATGAATGACGATGGGACAGCTCATTGTTTGCAATCTGCCGACATTACCCGTATTGACTGTGGGTGGTGTAGCATTGGTAAGCTTCTGCATCTTGCTGATTTCCCACCGATGTTGATACGTAGGCAGAGTTGGTAAAGCCGGCTCTTGGTCGAGTATGTTATCCAGGTTGGTTTTCAAGTTAGCTTCCAGTCCTGCAATGGCTCGATCTGTGGTGTCTGCGGTGATACTTTTCTAGGAGTGGAGACTCTTTGCGTCTCACTTCTATATCGGAGCCTGAAGTGACCGAGTTTGGGCTTACAGTCTGCTCCACTGCTATAGCTTTGGGCGAAGGACCCTCTAAGAAATCTGTTGCCGGTATGCTTGAAGTGTACTTCTCCCGGTGAAAGAATGATATTCTAATACTCAGGTAGCTATGGATCAATCTGTTTTGAAACGTATCTCCCAATTCAGGTTACCACACTCATGATTCAGTAGAGACTTATTGAATGCTATTGTTCATAGAACTTGATGAATGAATTGACCAATCCTTTTCGTCTTTCCGGGGCTCTTGTTGAGGGGAATGCAGCACTCCGGTCCGTTTATCGATGGGAAATTGACATCTTCGTGGGATGAGCCACGCGTACTGTAAATGGAGTGAGAAAGAAAGACAGTGTGCCTAGTCAATTGAACCAGGAATGCCAGGCTCAACCGAGAAGTTCGTACCCTTCCTTCCACTGTGTGAGTTGCTGTGGACGCTCTTATCATCAGTATAAGCATTTTTTTTTTCCCGGAGAACAACGAGTACTGAAACAGATTTGGACGATACTCATTCCCATTGAATAGGGTCAATAGTCCTACCGTCACTGGGTGGTGTAGGTAGTGAGAGCTGCCTACCAAGTCTCGTCTCAGACCAGAAGTATGGAGTCACTGAAGCTGTAAACAGACGACGCTGCCTAGACAATCCCAAATGGACAGTATAACCTGGAGATGTCCGGTGACCAACCATAGCGGTCAAATGTAGCAGAGTCGATTGTTGTTGTTTCCCAATCTTCTTTCAATTCACTTCTCTCTCTCCTCACCCTTTCATCACCGTGGCAAACAGCCCTGTGAGTATCACCAAGTTCCATCCCCGTGTTTCATCATCCTCTGGTCAAGACTGATTTGAAGTGGCTCCAGGCACCATGACTGAACCTGGGCTGAGAATCCTGGGGGCAGCCTCAAGTGCAGAGGATTTCTGGGGTCGTTCCCTTGATCGTACCCATGCCTTTGATGATCAACGTCGTCGTTGTCGTGATCCTGCTGATGCCCACGAGTCTCCCCGCGAGTCTGGTCGGGAGTTAAGTCGTGATCCTGGCTCTGGTCATTATCGCGACTATGACAGAGGACGCAATCATCGTGACTCTGACATGAAGCGAAGAGATGATGATCGAGCCCGCTACCGTGAACGGGACTATTATCCCAACAACCATCGTGAAGAGTACGATTCTTACCGTGGCGGGGTATGTATTTTGTCGATTCTACGACTGTCAGTTTGATGCTCACAACAAGAAGGGTGCAAATCGCAATGACAGACGTCGTTGTTATATTTGCAACACACCGGGCCACATTGCGATTCGCCACAATGCCTGGGCCTTAACGCATCAGAGACACGTCGCCGGCAGCATCGGCATCACCGTGCGTGAGCCGCAGACGGGATAACCATTCTCGTTTGACAAACACAATCTACATGCTGGCCTCGCTCTGTACTAACAACACTGACTAGGAACCGGTGCATCTCTCGATCAACTCCCGTGCCCAGCTGAGTATCCTACCCCAACGAATTCCTCGCCAACAGGAATTGATGCCACCGGTCAATCTTTCGGCCATGGCGACGGCATGGCAGCAATATCTGGTTCCGGGTATGGTCGAGGTGGGTAATGCTCTGGCTGCACTGCAATCAGCTGCCGTGGCTATGGGAGCCGCGGCTCCACATGCTGAGATCGCGGCAATTGTTGCTTCTTGGGACCAGTACATCACACCCGGAAGGGTTCGCATGGAGCGTTCCCTGGCTGCCATGGGCTCCAGTCCTGTGGAAGGTTATCACCAAGAAGGCCGTGTCAGCTCATCCACCACAACTTATCGGGACCACAGCCAGCACGAACCAAAGTACTTTGCCAACGAGACTCTGGTCACAATGACTGATGCTGTGAATGTTGAACCCACCAATGTTGACAACGGTTATGATTTCGATATCTACTGATAAGGACATGGAGTTTCTTTTTTTGTGGTCGAATCAGCTTGATATGTCTTAATTTGTGCATCATCATCACATGTGAGAATGAGCACCTGGGTCTTTCTATGGAATAAATTATGACGATTTCTATGTGATCCATATCAGTGATTGACCATAGCAATGGCCGAATGCATACCAAATGTTCACGGGCACTTCATGATATCTCAATCATTTCCTCTAACCCTAAACGCTGCAAATGATCCAAGGTTGTAACAAGCTGTTGATTTAATGACATAAAGTATCACAGATTCTGTAGAATAGTTGGGTGATAGGATAGGTTAACTTATTCTTTGGTGATAGTAGGACTGCATTGCTTGGGTGAGAGTTCGTTTGATGTTGCGTATTTGTTGCTTCATAGTCAAATATGGCATTCATTTTCATACACCTGCTGCATGTCAGTCTACATTTCGATTTCCAGAACAAATTTCTCTAATCTCCCGCTGACTCAATTAGGTACATTGTGACAGCTTATCATGTTGGAGCCTTGGCGAATGCGTGTTGTTACGCTAGACGGGGGCATGTACAAGCTATGACACCCCGACACAAGTTTTTCGCTTTACATCCTTCACTACAGTGCTATAATAGAGTATTTGAACTGGCGTATACTAAGTACATTTTATTCAATATAACTATATTGTTTTAAATAGTGGATTTATTCTATTTGCTCTCCTTTGCCGTCTCTCGTCGACGCACTCTCTACCCCGGCCAAAAGCAAAGAAAGGACTGATAGCATCTCCTTACTAGCTGTCTTATCTTCGAAGAAGCATTGCTGTAGGGACGAAGCGTAAATTGAATATGTTCAAACCGCGAGTTTGTACTACCTGGACCTTTACATTCGGTTGGTTCATATGTAGTATGAGATGGTTTGGCTCCATTCTTCGAATGATATCTTTGTATTTCTTTTCTTTATAAAAGAAAAATTACAATTACGCATATTCTTTAGGCTTAGACTTTCTGTACCATTGTTTGTTAAGGCAAAGAATAGTATCTTCTACAAAGTCTTCTACCAGGTAAGCAGGTGAGGCTTCCAAGCTTGTTCTGTTGAAGCCCGCGACGCGATAACAGGGGTTACCGGATATATCGGCCTTAATTGTTACTAAAGCACATATAAAGCTATGTTTTCATAATATCAAGGCTGTTGGTATCCTATCGGGCAGCTTGTAAACTTGGACAGAGAATAGAGCTGACTTGACGATATAAAAAGCTAGAGATTCGCGATGGGGCTGTTGAGACATCTAACAAGAGATGTATGGACATTCCACACGGAATAAATTCCAGTAATGTATCTCTTGTATACATCCTCCCTAGACATTGAATATCCAAATCATACTTCGTACTTACGGAGTGTTTTCCGAGTTCCAAGTCGGCCGGCGGCGACCGGTGAGACAGAGCGGAAAAGAGGTCACGTGCACGAAAATCTTAGGTGTATCCCAACACTTTGCGAGAGTGCTATCTTCCAACCCATACCACCTCCAATTCCTCCCATCATGCTCTTCCGTACTGCGGCCCGCCAGGCTGCGCCTTTGAGGCGTCAGGCTTTCGCTCCTCTTGCCCGTCGCACTGTCACTACCGACGCCGCCTCCGCGCAGACCGAAAGCCCTGTCCCGCAGGTTTGTTGAGCCTATCCGGAAAACTGGAATATATCGCCGGAAGGCCCCCGGAACCCAATGCTGACGATATTGCTTGCGCTACATTAGGAGGATGACAAGCCATTCACCGTCCGTCTCTCTGACGAGAGCTTCGAGACCTACGAGCTCGACCCGCCCCCATACACTCTGGAGACCACCAAGAAGGAGCTCAAGCAGATGTACTACGACATGGTCTCGATCAGGTACGGATCCCTTTGTGGGCGCGTTGGAAAATTGAGCAGCGCTGATTCGAGAGTTTTTGGTTTATAGACGTATGGAGATGGCCGCCGACCGTCTGTACAAGGAGAAGAAGATCCGGGGTTTCTGCCATCTGTCGACCGGTCAGGAAGCCGTCGCTGTTGGTATTGAGCACGCCATCAACCGCATGGACAAGATCATTACTGCCTACCGTTGCCACGGTTTCGCTTTGATGCGTGGTGGTACCGTGAAGTCCATCATTGGTGAGCTTCTCGGCCGTCGCGAGGGTATCGCGTACGGCAAGGGTGGTTCCATGCACATGTTCGCCGAGAACTTCTACGGTGGTAACGGTATTGTCGGTGCCCAGGTGCCCGTCGGTGCTGGTCTTGCCTTCGCTCAGCAGTACAACGAGCAGCCCAACACCTCCATCATCCTGTACGGTGATGGTGCCTCCAACCAGGGTCAGGTTTTCGAGGCTTTCAACATGGCCAAGCTGTGGAACCTCCCCGCCCTGTTCGGTTGTGAGAGTATGTCAACGCCCTTGATTCCGTTTTTCCGATGGATCTCTAAGCCAGATTACTAACTCCTCTCCGTTCAGACAACAAGTACGGCATGGGTACCTCTGCCTCCCGTTCCTCCGCCCTGACCGAGTACTACAAGCGTGGCCAGTACATCCCCGGTCTCAAGGTCAACGGCATGGATGTCCTCGCCACCAAGGCCGCCGTCCAGTACAGCAAGAACTACACCATCAACGGCAATGGTCCCCTCGTCCTCGAGTACGTCACCTACCGTTACGGTGGTCACTCCATGTCCGACCCCGGTACCACCTACCGTAGCCGTGAAGAGATCCAGCGCATGCGCAGCACCCACGACCCCATCGCCGGTCTCAAGCAGAAGATGCTCGAGTGGGGTGTCACCTCCGAGGAGGACCTCAAGGCTCTTGACAAGGAGGCCCGCGCCTACGTTGACGCTGAGGTCGCCGAGGCCGAGCAGATGCCCGTCCCCGACAACACCTCCCGCATTCTCTACGAGGACATCTATGTCCGTGGCTCCGAGCCCAAGTGGATGCGTGGACGTACCGTCGACGAGACCTTCTACTACTAAATGTAGATCGGTTCGTTTCGGGGTACCTGCGTTGAGTTCCTTGGATGAGCTTTTAATCCGTTGTGTGGGGGGCCGGGAAGAACATCTTTCTCCTGTTCCTCTCTATCATTTATCTGTAATTTAGCCCGATGACTAGTTTCTCTTATGTTTGTTTCTTTGGTTTCTGTTCTAGAGTAAAGAGCAATTACCATACCGGGTCCTGTTCCATGCGTCGAATAGTCCTTTCCTAAGTCTAAAAGTATTGCAATAGTGATCTTCCTGAAGTCAAGTACGCCGTCGCGGTCGATTATGGGTATCATACCAAAGAGGGTGAAATAAATACATCGAAGTGTAAGAGTGAGCAAGTGGCCATGGCAGGCAGGCCAAGCTAAGGCCAAGCTAAAAAAGGAATTGTAACCTGCGCTTCATCCATCAAGCAGGTTCCTGTCTCAACATCTCAAGAATCATCTCCTGGGTCCTTTGCACAGAATCCAACTTGTCTTCCAGAGCAGCTCGATCCCGTTCCAGTTCACGGCGAATCTCAACCCTCATCTCCTGCCGAAGCTCCTCTTTCATCTGTTCGATATCAATTGGAGGAGGACTATGTGGTGACGACTGCGACTGCCGCGGCAGTGGTAGCTGAGAGGAGCGGTTCCGGTTAGCTTTTTCCGGTGCAGCTTTAGCTACAGCGTGGAAAAATGGTGGTATTCTTTGCGTGTCGAGATCCTTTCCGTCGAAGTGATTGTGGAGCCTGTTCAAGGTTTGGACGGCGGCGTTGAATATCTCGCCGCCGTCGGTGTCTGGGGTTTTGGATGTAGTAGAGGTCGGAGGATAAGATGCGGTTGGAGCGGTCATTGGAGGATTTGAGAACATGTTCTCAAAGCCGGGTGGTAGCCTGAGGGAGGTGGGCGCAGGCACTGGGGGGGACGATTGTTCGGGGAATGGCGCAGGTTGTGAGACAGTGGGAATTGATGTAGGAAGTGTTGGGCTCGCTGCTGGCAGAGAGTCACCAAGGGTGCTTGCAGCAGAGTGACCTATCGTCGCAGTACCAACATCTGTCGGACTGGTAGCAGACCCAAGGTGTATCCGCCATGGTTCTGGTTCTCCGCTCTTCCGAACCTGACTCTGACCCCGACCCTCATTCTGACGTCTGGGTGGTGGCTGTTTGCGCTTTCGAATTTCGTCGCGTTTCGCAATGCGATGGTTCTCGGCATCCTCCCACCGCTGCCACGTCGGAACCCAAGCATCGACAGCAGCACGCCATTCCGGATTCATCAAACCCTCAGCGGCGGTTGAGCCACGCTGCCGCTGGTCCTCAAGGGATTTGATACGCTGTCTCGTGACCATTTCCACTTTGCGCCGGACCGAGTGCCACGAATATGAGCGGCCATCATGGGTGCGCTTGAACTCATCAGCGACAGATATCCACCACTTGCACAGATTGCTACGGCTGCCAAAGGTGTCTGCATTCTGGTTGCAGATTTCAAAAAGTGCCACTTCCTCTTTGGTCGTTAAGCGTCGGTGTTGTCGTAAATTGTCGACATCCAGATCAGCATCAGCCTTATGGACCCGCTTCGTCCCTCGTGGGTTTGATCCTAACATCAGGACTGCGTCATCTCCTTCGCTGGGTTGGCCTGCCACGGGCATTGGCGCATAGTATAGATCGCTCTCTGTGATAATCCCCCCGCTGCCTGTGGATCGCCTGGGGTTAGACTTTCTTCTGGTGTCTCCCCGCTGCTCTCGGAGTTGTTTTCGGTCGCCGGTAGGTTTCTGACCACCACTGACACGGATTGCGAGGCTGGGCTAAAGCCTGAGCGTAGATCTGGTGCTGCGTATGTGCTTGGGAATGGGCGATATGATGGATGGTATTTGTATGGTTGAACCCGCGGCATTGGGGATGGCTGCCTGGCAGGAGCCACACCCTGACAAAGGAACAAGGCTGGCCGCTGTGTCTGTAGTCCTTCCGCAGCAGAATACCAGTTGCTACAGTATGGGACAGTTGTATCCAAGGGACACCTCGAGATGTGTCGATCTGTGGAGAAGACCAAGCTGGATTTCACCTGAGGGTTTTCCATGTGGTCCGTGCACGGGCATCTCTAGCTGTGCTTTAAATGCGCTTGTGTATATTCGCACATTTAGCGGACTGTATCAATGCTTGTTTCCGCCGATGCGCTCGTTGGGCAGTCTAGATTTCTATATTTAGGGGTCTTTGACAGGTTGCAATCTGTAAATATATCTGTGCAACTTGGTGAGGCTTTAGGTCCCATAGAACATAAAATACTTAGACATAACCATACTGTCAAGTCGCATTTTTGCTTCGTTGACTAGATATTTTAACAAGACAGCAAGCAGAGAAAACAATTGACAGGTCTACGCAAAAAAAAATCACATCAATCAATAATATATCCATTTACAATCCATCATGGCTATGGTGGTACAGGGGTGGAGCAGACACAAAGCTCCAAAGACAAGCAAAATACGAACCAACACCATGGTCAACATGATCCAGAAATATGCAGGAAGGGAGGGAAAACAAAGAGTAACCCACTAATACACAGATGGGAAGTAGGGAGTAAATAGTACCTTAGGAGAGACAATAGGAGAAGACAAGGCGGAGGGGTGGCTAAGAGCCAGCTCTCTCTCTCTACCAACGTCTTCTCAGGTACCAACCATAAGCCGGAGTGGCGATTGATTCGCCGAAGGGAGTGGGCACCTCAGCGGAGCCTGGGCGGGCCACGGGATGGCGCAGGTACACTGCGGCACAGATGTTCTGGTTGACCTCGAGGTAGCGCGGGATGAAGGCAAAAGCGGACATGTAGTCACGCGGCTGCCAGGGGGTAGCATAGGGTTTGGTGTGGTCGATAGGGTTGTCGCGCATCTGGGTGAGAGCGCGCTTGAGAGTGTCGAACTCCTCGTCTGACAGCTCAGAGGCATTGATGTCGTTGCCGAGGGTTGCCTGCTCGAAAGCGGCCGAAAGCTTGTCACTGGCAGCGGGCTCGTCGGCGTCAAAGGCGAGAGAATCATCTTCTGATTGGCGCTTGGCAGGCTTGTTATCTTGCTTTGGAGCCTTTGTCTCACGCTTGGCCTTGAGGAGCTCTGTCAAATGGGAAAATTGCACCTCCAGGCTTTGCGTGAGGATGTTACTGGATTCGGAGCCGGAGCGGGACAGCACACGGCGGACCGCCTTTTGGAAGCCGCGGAGCTCCTGTTTGCGCTTGGCGGGGAGAGTATCTTTATCGTTCGACATGACTGACTTGGCCTGGGCCATCAGCGCCTTGAGAGTCTCCTTGGGGCTCTTCACTTCTGGCTCTTCGACCTCAGCCTGTTCCGCCTCGTTGGCTTCCTCCGCTTCCTCCGCTGGCTTTTGGGCCAATCGGCTCTCGCGACGCTCAAACTTATTTTTGGGAGCGCCAGTAGCAAACATGACACGGTCTGGCTCGACCTGGAATAGGTCACCGGGGTTGAGGAGGTAGCTGGGGTGTCTCATCTAGTCATACGAGATCAGTTAGGGTGTGATCGTTCAATTGGTCATGGTGTGGGCCAAATCATACCTTCTGTCCATTGACAGTGACGGCTCCGTGGATGACAAACTGTCTTGCCTGTCTCGCACTGCTGGCGAACATAGCTCGGAAGATAGCAACGTCCAACCGACGCTCCAGGGGTGCGAAAGTCATATTGGTGTAAGGTGTTTGGCGGGTGGGATATTTCGGCTTTTCTTCCTTGCTCAGACCCGAGCCACGACCAGCGGAGACCAGTGATCCATCATCGGCGGCCAAATCGGCGGTGTTCATGGGGATGACGCTCTTGATGCGGCGGGAGAACATGCGCTTCCATTGACCCTCGCGGACTTGCTCTCCATGATAGGCACGAGACACTGCCTTGGCAGACCATTTCTGCTGGAAGAATGTTCGGTTCATGGTGGCAGGGCTGCGGAACCGCGACATGTTATACAAGTTGTACTTGCTCCATGATTGACGGATTTTCTAGAGACAGTCGAATTAGTTTCTTGCATTGTATGAATCAAGGTGGGAAATTGAGACATACGCCTTTCGACAAAGTGTTGCTAGCCCTGTTCCTCATTGTGGCGGGTGTGTAAGGACAATACTGTAGCAGATGGTCTGGCTTGTCCTGCCCGAGATGCTTGAGTCTCAAAACTTCTCTCACGTGACTTGACCATTACTGATGCCTAAGTGACAAGGCATTAATTTACTCGGCGGTGATTGGCTCGACATACCCAATGCTGATTGGCAGACCAAACTCGCTTAGCCATGACCCATAGCAAAATCACGTGACTCACCGAGTTGGCCAGGTATAAGTATCCCGCCCTTCCCGCAACCTTCCTCTCTTTTTCCTTTCTTCTTCATACTTACCTTGTTTGGGTGGCTGCGATCATGAAGGCGGCTCACCACAGTCTGGTCCCTGCATTGCACAGCGCGGCGGAACAGTCTGTTCAATGGCTTTCGGGTCATTGACAGGCGTATTCTTTGGCACCCTCCATACGTGGAACTTTCTTTTCATCAACTTCGAGCCAGTGGCTCGAGCTTGGAGAAGAGGATGTAAAATTTCAACTAGTTGAAAAGTAAACAGTGCGTACCTCATGATAAAATTGTTTCCGCGTCGCCGCGTGTGCTGACGTTTTGACGTCACGCCCGTGTCACTGCCGTGTCTCCCTACATCAGCCGTCGCCGGCGCCGCCGTATGTAGAGTATGTTAGGAACTTGTTTGAAGACCTTGTCGTTGTAGTCGCGGACGCTGGCATTGCGTTATCTATCTTCGAAGTGAGCTTCTTAAGTGAGCTTCTCTGCCTGTAATTGCACCATGCTGTCGCCTTCCGCCATCACCCTTCGTATCTCTTCGCCCCCGTGGCGTGACTCCTGACCCTCTTACAGCTTTCTCCCAGAGGCTGGGCGCTCTAGTGACGATATTGCGAGATGTTCGAGCACTACGTACTGGCCACTACTCTACTTGATGCCTATACCACAACTGCACAAAAGTGAAATGGCTTTCTAGTTCTTGAACCACTTCATATTTAGAATAAAAGAAATTTTGGTATCTGATAAGATCGTGCTAGTAACTCCAGAGACCACTGCGCCCCGTCAAAATGCAAACCCCAATTCAATCATACATTATCATTCCCTCCTAGAACTTGGAAACGCCTCCGCCAATGACTCCGCTTCTTGAGGATTAGTCCACTCCTCAAGCAGCTCGTGAGCCATATCGACAGTTTCATCATCGATGCCAGCCTCCAGAACGGTCCCATCACAGAATGCCAAACGAGTCAAGACAACGAGATGCTTTTGTTTGCTGCCGGGTACACAAGCCAGCTTCTCTTGCATGTTGATTGAGGGCCCGTGCTGACGCATGACTCCGAAAATCAACCGCATGAGTCCATTGACTAGGGAAACGCGCAGGTCTTGCTCGGGGGTAGGAATACAGTGCATCCAGCTCATCATGCATCGAGCGGAATAAGCGTGCCAGTGCATTGGGGTGCAATGCCAGGATGGCACTTGCGTGACCTTGGGATACAGTTGTTGGACTGAATGCTAACGATTCCAGCAGTAGCAGGACCTCGAGTCGCATGGCACAGATGTCGTATGGAGTGTATGGCTCAACGCCTTCGTCTGGTATTGCTGGCTCGCTGAGCATGTGTGTCAGGCGGTCCACGATCCATTTCTGCACATCCAACTGGTCCTGGTCCGATGTCCTGATCGACCCGAAAGAGTTTGGACGAATGCTTGTCGACAATAGGTTCATTAGTAGTACAATATCCCCGAGTGGATGTGATGGGTGCAGCATCACAAGAATGAAAGATATCCGGATGTTCTCCCAAAAAGTCTGGAGAGCTCTCCTGTTGTGCAATACCCCACAAGCGATTCGGTAGAGCAACCGCAAGGCTTCAGTTGAGTCAACTAGAGGCTGGAGATCGGATTGTGGTGTCTGTCCTGCCACTCGTTTGTCTCTTGATGCTGGAGCATACTTGAACCGAGGGACTGCATTGACTTCCACAGAATCTTGTAGAACTCCGACTAGAGGTATGATAATTTCAGGAAGCGGCGTATCATCCGACATGAGAATGAATCGGACGATAGAGGCAAACCGAGGAATCGGTTCGTAGAACTTCTCGTTGATTGCACGCTGCCATAACGAGGCAATCGCTTGCGTATATTCTACTATGTAGCTGTCCATGTCGACATGAGCCATGCTATCCATAACAATCCTGGACATGGAGCGATCTGGCTCTGAGGGAAAGGCCAGCTTAGCCATTGCTTCGAGGTCTGTTTCCTCGCTTGGGTGCATTTTGTGACTTAGGAGCCGCATCATGAACCGCTGGTTGCGACCTGACTGTGCAGACTTGCGTTTCGCCTGTGCAACTTCTGCGGCATCGACCGAAGCATCAGTCATGATGAGCTCCGCACCTGCAGGATTCAACTCTAGTGGTGTTGGGCTATCTTGACTTGCTTGTCGTTTCCGCTTCCCAGGCACTGTCGGTGTGGCTCGCTTAGAACGTGTTGCAGATTTGCTGGGTGAGACCACGGCGATCTCATCATCATCAAATCCATCGCGGAAAGGCAGTATCCTGGACTTCCTGGGAGTGACTGGAGCGGCCTTATCCTCGTTTCGATGCCTTGTTTTGTAGTTGCGAGCCTGGTACGCTTCCTCCACAAGTTCCTGCTGAAGGAACACGTTCTCCGTTGCCAGTACCTTGCCTTCGGACATCGCGGCCTCTACCTCTAGCTTGTGTGAGGCCGCCTCATCAGCCAGTGATTTCCGTAGAGCTGCGAGCTGTCGGTCATAATCTTGGGTCATCCTTGTTTGCTTTGACCGAATAATGCTGATTTCTCCGGTTTTCATGGCCACTTGATCTTTGGCCTCGGCTAGCTCCCGTATCATCTGTTCTCTTTCTTGTTCCATCTGTTTATGCTATTAGATACCTTTCCAAAGTCAAGTTCTCGTTCCAGGAGACTAACTTGCGCCAGGCGTGCATTGATCTCAGTCATATTCACCTGCCCATAGCCCTCGTCCAGCTCCATTGCATCGCCCATCTCGCCATTGACAGTCCAGTCAATGTCAGTAGCGGGTGCATGGTGACCGTATGGAACAGCATGTTGCCCATCCACATTGTCGTACACCTCGGCTTCCAGTTCCCCCACCTCCAGTGTATTGTACTCATTGGTCAACCCGGTGTGCAAGCGAGGCGGTGGTCTCAGGGAACCAGTGTGATTAGAGGGCGCTGCGTGGGCGCGCAGAACGGAATTGCTGTTTATCGAAGGGACACTAAAGTGCTGAGAGGCCGTCGCCTGAGTTGCTTGGAAAGCATTCTGTTCTAACTCGTACAACGTACCCGGTGGCAGGGAGTCGAACTCGTCGGAGCCGTAGTCGTCGTCGTCGTCCATGCCCCCGCCATGAATGGAGTATGCGGGAAGAAGTGTTCAAGTTCAGTTGCAGACCGGCAGTTCACCCTTAAACCCTGCAAATTGCAACTCCCCCCAATTTCTACGAACAACAAACCCTAGAGATCTTTAGAAGCGGGGATATAAAACTAAATAATATTCAAATGCTAGCATAACTCACTATACAATAACATAAAAAAAACATAAACACGGAGCTGACCGCTTTCGGCGCAATTCACATGAGCTCATCATCTTCTAATCCGACGATCCTCACTCACTCTGCACTCTCCACTCCCTTTCCCAGAATCCGTTTCTGGCCCATCCCCCTTTCTCACCCCTCATCATGTCGAAATCTCGCCGCAATGTCAGGTTCCAACATCGGAACGGCGAACGACGGCTAAGCGTGTCCTCCGACGTCAGCGACGTGCCCTCGGAGCCTAGTCTCAACAAAAATGGAAATGTTTCTCAGCCGTCCACGATACAGGAAGAGGTCAGCTTCGGCTCTATATGGATTGGGGAACTACATTCTGACAATCTCATCACACTTAGAAACCCGCTCAGTCTGAATATGAGAAGAAGAAGCAGACCTTCATCACCCGCACGATATGGACTTTCGTGATGATTGCTGGTTTCTTCATCGCCATGTTCTCCGGTCATATCTATATTATCGCCCTTGTCACTGCCATCCAGATCGTTTCGTTCAAGGAGGTCATCGCCATCGCCAATGTGCCCAATAAGGAGAAGAACCTGCGCTTCACCAAGTCTCTGAATTGGTATTTCTTGGCCACGACTATGTACTTCCTGTATGGAGAGAGCGTCATCTACTACTTCAAGCACATCCTACTGGTTGATAAGGTGCTTCTCCCACTTGCAACTCATCACCGCTTCATCAGCTTCACGCTCTACGTCATGGGTAAGTGCCTCGGCGATGCTCTTTTGGTCTATGCTAATCTGTTTCATTAGGATTCGTGTTTTTCGTCGGATCTCTGCAGAAGGGACACTACCGATTCCAATTTACTCAGTTTGCTTGGACTCATATGGCTCTGTACCTGATCGTTGTCCAGGCTCACTTTGTCATGAACAACATTTTCGAGGGCATGATCTGGTTCTTCCTCCCCGCGTCGCTGGTGATCACCAACGATATCTTTGCTTACGTCTGTGGTATCACTTTTGGACGCACCCAACTCATTCAGCTTTCCCCGAAGAAGACAGTCGAGGGTTTCCTCGGCGCCTGGATTTGCACCATTGGATTCGGTTATTTCATGACCAACTTGCTCATGCGCTATAAGTACTTCATCTGCCCTGTCAACGACCTGGGATCCAACGTCTTGACTGGTTTGGAGTGTGTGCCAAACCAAGTCTTCATGACCCAAGTCTACTCCCTTGAGTTCTTCGGCCTGGACTATAGCTTCCACATGGAGCCCATCCAGTTCCATATTCTGGCTTTCGCCACTTTCGCTTCTCTGATCGCTCCTTTCGGTGGATTTTTTGCATCTGGCCTGAAGCGTACTTTCAAGATCAAGGACTTTGGCGAGTCCATTCCCGGACACGGTGGTATCACTGACCGCATGGACTGCCAGTTCATCATGGGCTTCTTTGCTTACATGTACTACCACAGCTTCATCGCTGTCTACAAAGCTAGCGTGGGCGATATCATTGAGACTGCCATCAACGGCCTCACAGTTGATGAGCAGCTCGAGGTCGTGCGCGGCTTGGGCAAATACCTGTATAACCAGGGTGCCGTTTCAGAATCGGTAAGTGTCTTTGGTGCTCGTTTAAAATATCAAGTTACTAAAGTCTCCTAGATCCTTGAGTGTCTCGTCACCGAGCTCAAGCGCCGATGAATCTGAACACGTCCCACCTCCCCGAGAAGAATTACAACCTTTATGACACTCTTCTTTCTCCGATTCCATCCATACCGAGGTAGACTACTCAACCTCGTGCTTTCCACCTTGCGACTCTCAACCGATTGCGAATGCCGTGTCGACCTCCCCACCCGCCTTCCCTTTTGCTTCATTCGGGGCCAGCTTGGGTTTCTCCAAATATGCATGCAAGCATCAAAATTTGCATGCATGAAATGTATAAGCAACCCCCACCTGCCTTACCTTACCCGTCTTTCAACACGACATCCAAATCCGACAAAAATTATCAATGGCAAGGAAAATAATGAACCGGGATCAAGACGACCAATCTTGCATGCCGAGGCACGGGGCTGATCCCTTTTCACTTCATGGCTGTTCTTTTTTTCTGCCTTACATTGATTTAGTACTTTTTTCTTTTTTCTCTTTTTTTTCCTGATGTCGGGCTCTGGACTGAACCCAAATTGATGACTCATTTTCTCGGTTGGGGGATACCGATCTGGAGCATTGCTATATTTTCAAAGTGTGGGATGGACATATCCTCCTACAGAGGTAGATGAGGGAGGATGGTGAAGATATGTCCAGGCTCTTTTTTTGACCTCGCAGTCTGGTTCCCTTTTAATTTTGCCGCTGTCTAAGACGCGTGGCGATTGGGATGGACTGTTGATTGTACATAGCTATCAATTCAAATGTTGAAGCTGAACTTTGTCTTTTTTATATCCATATATTTCGTCTCAATTTCTGACGTGGTGCTACTACACACATTACATGATGCTGCAAGCTAACCTTGATGCTCTACGAAATTAATAGTTTGGTCATTAAGGATGGGTCTTTTCATTTGCATCTCTATCGACGCGCTGTTCATAGATGTTTGGGGTATCGGGAAATCGTGGATTGTGTATGTCGACGGGCAGTCGTCCTCATCATGGAACGCAGAGGAGTATCAGCATCGCTCTCTTCTTTCTACACTTCGACCTCATACTCTTCCATTTCAACATTGAAGTACCTCGCAACCTGCTGCCTCTCATCATCTGCACATATCGGATCAATCGTGAACCGCACAGCAGCATCACGACCTCGCTCGCCTGTTCGTTGGCGATCACCATTCGCAGCAACGGGTGTTAATGGATGAGCAGGTCTGGGGGGATAACCTGCATGGTTGATAGTCCCATTGGCTGGCTTGCGTGGTTGGTCAACCCACGGAGCGTGTCGTGGGATATGCTGTGTGCTTGCTTCTTGGTTGAGTGGAATGCGGACGGTCAAGAATCTGTCCGCAGGGAACTCTGGTCCGACGGTGGTCTGTCCGCGGTAGTGAGTGTAAAGTTCTAGGAGGTCGAAGATGGTTTCTGAGGTTGATCATCAGCTATGAGACTCCAAGGTGACTAACGAAGGCGAGAGGTAGGTTTGATGAACATCACCAAAGAAACATACCCATGACATCCGTGCGGTTTGTGTTCCAATGTGCATAGTCCACCCCGATCTCGACCGGTTCGATGCGTTGGTCCAAGAGCCGTCCTGCAAGCTCGAGGGAGCTATAAGCCATCGTTGATGAACTCTGCTTGATGGGTGAAAATGTGCGGTAAAGATCTATTGAGATACGGTAGGCGAGATTGGAAACCTCTGATCCTTGCGGGTGACCGTAACGCCGCCCTAGCTTCATCAGAGTCTTCTGTGGATGCCGAGTTCGGAAGTCGAAGCCAGAGGCTTCCAGCATTAGGCGCTCGAGGCCGATGACCCCGCGCGCATTGGTTTCAAACATCTTGGAAGAAGTGTTAGCACTCTGTCATTCTCAATGTCTCGGGCATCACGACTTACAGGGTCATCTGCTGCCAGGTGCTCCGATGGTGATAATTTGAGATTGTACGCCGCGCAGACGATATCTCGTGACTTTTTGAGCGTGTCTTCAATCTTGCACGCTGTGAACAAGGCTGCTGCCGCCGCATCCTGTGTACTGGTCAGACTAGCTTCGTTCAGCAACAACCGAGAGAACTTACCGCGAAGTTGTACTCATTGTCTGGATGCATTAACCGAAACCGGTGGTAGTACCCCACAGCCGTGTTGAAAGTCCGGATAGGCCTTTGAATTTGATCAGTATCTTGATACAAATCGATCTTGCTCTGCACATCAGACTTGGGGTCAACTTACAGGTTGAGTGCTTTCCGCACGTTGTCAATCCACGCCACGCCCTGGAGACGCAAGGAATTCTCGCGAGTGGGGCTAATACCCATCGACTCGATACAGCTTTGGACTGTTTGTTCGAAGATGTATGGGTTGGCCACCTGTATAAAAGACGGGTGGATGGCTGGCAGTGCAGGCGGATTGGGTTTCATCGTCGGGCCCCCACGGGGGGATACGTCCCTTATAACACGCTCCATGGTAGATTTTGGAGCCGCAATGCTCCTAGATGGATGGTAATCCCGAGCAATATTCCCGGACGTTGCAACGTGAAGACGAACAATCACCGATGAATTGATATCCAGGGTCACGTGTTGTAGGAAATGGTTACACCGCCCGACGTATACTGCAATCATATATGGAGTACTCCCTCGGTATAGAAGTTAGCTTTTGGATGTTCTCGCTTCAACACATAAATTCCAATTAGGTCTTGCATTTCCCTGTTGAATTTGCTATAGTGTTGTTGGTATATCTCTCCAGGTGGGGAGATACCCTTAAAATCGCACCACATGTTGAATGGATTTCCTAAATCAGGATCTGGTTGCTCTACAGGACGAGGAGAAAAATGAAGGACGAATCAAATTCATGGGTAGGTACTTCCCAAACAAGGTGGTTCTTGATTTAATTCAACTTCTCGCAACAAGTCACCAAAAGTCCATTTAGTCCTTTCCATACTTCTTGATCAACTTCTGCATGATCGACATAGCACCAGAGCGATACCCTCCACCAAAGATAGCATGATGATTCAGATGGTGATACCTGGCCAGAAAGGATCAGTAAACGCGGAAAGAAACAAAGACCCAGAGAAACTCACAGTTCGTACAACTCAACCCGATCGGCATACTCCGCAACAGGCTCGGTCTTCGGCACAATACGATGATACTGATCAAAGAACCGCGACCCAAACCCACCAAACATATGCATAATCCCAAGTTCAAACTCACTATGCCCATAGCAAGCAGAAGAATCATAAACAACATCACCAGGCGTCTCATCCCGACCGGTCCCCAATATACGACCCCGATCCGCATTTCCACTCCACAAATCCCCATGGATAACAACAGGCACGATACCCTCTCCCTCGCCATTGACATTATACCCCAGATGATCATCACCTAGCAGCCGCGGCACAACCTTATAAGCCGTTTGTTCAACAGCCTCGCGGAGACCCTCGTCCCGCCCATTGCGTTCTTCGGAGGTAGCCAGGACCGTGAGAAGCCGCTCGTTCGCATAGAAGTCAGCCCAGCTATCATGAAACCGGTTTGGCTGTTTTGTATCACCACAGAAAGTCGGCACGGGAAATCCGAATCTGCGCCGGCCGGTTTCTGGGTCTGCAGGTGCGGGCGTGGTATGTAGCTTGCCCAATCTGTGGGCAAGTGTAGTGGGTGTAGTTTCGTCACCCTTGCTGCGACTCGTGGCACCTCCGAGTTCGAGAAATTCCGTTACAAGAAAGTAGCCCTTCGCGTTTGTGCCGTCTTTGTCTAGTGGTCCGCAGGCGAGGGCTCGTGGGCAGAATCCCGGTACTGAGTCGGCGATTGCGTTGAGGGATTCGTATTCTCCTTGGAACATTTCTTCGGCGGCTTTGCCATTTGTTGCTGTTTTCACGAAGTACCGGCGCTCTTCTTCGGCGCCATCTTTTCCTGGGACTTGGGCGCGGATTGCACCTGTGCTTGTGAAGCCTGAGCCAAGGCCGGAGAGGTTGACCTTGGATGGACTGGGGAGTGACAGGGCTTGGAGAATGGGCTGTGGTACAGAGGTCATTTTTGGTGTGTTACTTTTTGGGCTTCTAGTTAGGCTGAGAAGAGTTATTGCAATTGAGATGTTAGGAGAGATACTCCATAGAGTGATGTGAACAGGACGAAGGCTATGACGTATTTTCTCCACAGGTACTCTTATCGATAAGATCTCTCTATGCAGTGCTTTCCAACCTTGGAAGGCTCCCCAGGACTTCATATCAAAAATAAAAAAATAAAAATAAAAAATACCGAGTACAAGAGCCAAAATGGAAATATACAAATGTTGCTACCTATACTCCAGTTCATAAAGCATTCCTTGTGAATTTGAATGTAAAAATTATGAGGTAGGGGCCAATCTGTTCAAGAAATGCAACACAACTTTAATGCGCTCCCTTATATCCAGGTCTACATCGTCCTGAAGAGCAGCCAACCGTTCCCCAAATCCAAGCGAGCGAAGCCGGATTGCTCGCTCCCGGCAGCCCTCGAAGTCATTCTGATCTTCCTCGAAAGCGAGGTTGATAGTCACCCAGACACAGGTTCGTCGCACATCTTTATTGGGATGGTTGAGGTAGTTCGCCAGATGGGGCAATATGCTCCGGTGGAATGTAACAGCACGGCGGTGGCGTGGGTGTCCGGCTGCCAAATGAATGAGGAGGGCGGCGACTGCGATGATGATTTCCTTGGGGATGCGGAGGTTTTGGTTGGCCTGACTGCCCACTTCTCGGCGGTGGGGGAGCTGGATGGTTCGTGGTCGAAGAGCTTCCGCGATTGTATCCAGAAACTCATTCTGACCGATCTCTTTGAAGAGATAGTCGATCATCTCGGTCGCGTGGTCGCCACAGGTAACGTTGCGTAGCAGGTCGAATGTCTGCTCCTGAACGGCAATGTCGTCGTGTCGAGACTGTGTCGTTTGTGCCAGAGATCCGTTCAAAACAAGTTTGCGTCGACGGCTTGCATCTTGCACAAACATTTCCAGGCTCATCTTCGAAGGAGGCATGGTATCAGTCATCTTGAAATCTTCGTCCCATTGAGCGGACACTTCCATTGGGTTCAGAATGTCGACCTGTTCCCCCGCCGAGTTAGATCGACCCATCGCAATCCCGGCGTTCTGATCTATCTCTTCTTCCACGCTCTGTCTGGACACTGCACGGACTGGATCCCGGGAGAGGACCTGCATGATCCATTGGGGTGTAAGGTTCTCAACGATCTTTATTCTGATGTCGATTGTAGTGTCATAGACCAGGTGCTTGATTGCCCATAATGATTCAATCTGTAGTTTGATGTTGGGTGAGCGGGCGTGTTCGCAAAGAATGGGAATGATGTTGGCAGAAACTATGGACTGAGAAAAGTGTTAGCAGTGAGCTCGATGTGCTAGATGACAAGACATCGACAAACCTCTCTCATGGGGCTAAAGTCCAAAGCCAAGTTGGAGATTGTTGCTGTAGCTGCGATTTGCACTTCTATGTCGGAATGTCGAATGAGGGCGAACAGTGGCTCAGCCACACCAGCATCGATAAGGCTTGTCCTCAACACACTCACCGATCTTGTCAGCATGCGAGCTGTGCCACAAGCAGCTAGGATTGTAGGGATTGGGTTGCCATCCTCTGCAGTATTTTTGGGCATGGAGGTGTCGGCCGGTGCATCACTAGGCCGTGGCTTGAGTGCATCGATAATGTAAGGTACCACGCCTTGCTCGCAAATCGCTTTGCGGTACTCATCCTTGAATGGAACGAGCGCCGCCAACGCCTTCAGAATGTTCTCTCGGTAACGCATTATATGACATAGAGCCGGGGAGTAGCCTGAAGGCCCGAGCCGGCACTCCAATGGAAGTGACTCAAGATCCCGGGCCGGGGCATCCTCTGCACTCCACATCGGCCGGTTGCTGTCTGGAACAGGATTGTAGGTCTCCTTGAGGAGTTGTGATAATCTCTTGAGCGCGTTGCCTTCCACTGCATGTCTCTGCAGCTCCTGGTCGTCCATGACCAAGCTGGCTAGCACTGCCGGTGCCTCTTCTTTGAGGCGTTGAATCGGCGGGAGCAGGCCGTCGTAGTTAGCACCATCCTCTTCTGATATGCGGAAATCTTTGTTGAGCATCTCAACCAAAGCGGGGATCAACAGATAACTGAAGGTCGAAACTCTGTGTTTCTTGGCGAGCCCTAATCTAAAGAGCGCCGTGACGAGACGGGCAGACATCAATCGCACCATGCCACTTTCTGAGCGGATAATATAGATGAGCCAGGGCACAATAGAGTTCTCATCTTCTTCCGGGGTAGGTGTCTCAGGAAGTGAAAATGCTGTCGGGAAAGAATGGCTGTGTCGGCGTTGTGAGCCCCCATAGCCAAGAGGTGGGAAATTAGTAGAGCTGGATGATGACTTGACGTGTGCTTGGGGAATTGAGGGCAAAAGCTGATCTATGGGATTAGCTCCGGGGTGACGGGGTACTGCAGAGCCAGACAGATAAGTATGGCCCCAGGGAGCTTTCTTGATGTCTGCCGGTGCAAAGTCTGGAACTTGCTTTGGGAACACCATGGTAATGCCTGGCGAGGACAAAAAGTGTTCAGCCCTCCACTTAGACTGCTCAATAGTAACACTAACTGCCCGCAGAATTGGCGCAAGACGGGCGGATTCTGGGGCCGGGAGTGGTAGATCGCCGTCTGCACCAGGTAGAACAAATCCCTGAGCCACAACGAACGAGGCAACCTTGAGAGCCAGGGCATCCAGAGTCCCAGATAGAGCAATGGCAGTCTTATGAGCTTCCTCGGTGCAAAGTTTGCCGATCAGAGCTGCAGATAGCTCAATGGCGGCCTGGCTGCGCAGGTTCTTGTATTCCTGGAGGATAATTCGTTTGAGAGAGTAGACATTTGAAGCCGAAAAGACCAGATCAGCGAGCTGGGTGTCTCGAGGCCATTTTTCCTGACTTTGCAGCGGTAGTCGGTCTGCAATTGTGTTCAGAAGCCGTAGAATGGGAAGACAGAAGGATTCTGGGCAATCTTCTGACGCAAGTATTGAAAGAACGTTTGGCAATATGTTGCTGGCAAATATCGGAGTAAGAAAGGTCGGTCCACCTGTCCATAGTAGCATCAGTTAACACGCTTGATATGACAACAGAGGCGAAGCTCCAATGTTCACATACCTTGTGCCAAGCTTCCCACAACCAAAGTTGCTTGAAGACAGGCCTCACAGTCTTCTGGGCTTTTCTGGGTTGATCGGTCTTGAGGCAGGGCGGATTCATTCTGATTCGTTGCTGGCCATCTCGACGTCAGCACCTGTGAAAGGGCGGGTATGATACCCTCAGCAACGAGGGCCTCCTTGCGCTGGTCATGGCCGATCAGTTCATTTTTCAAAGCTCGTAGAGCTGTAATCTGAGCAGAGACCGATTCGGCGCTTTGGAGCTGCTCCAGAATCGGCGGTGCGGCAGCTCGCGTCATCATCCGGCGACCACCCCTCCCAGCGGGAGGTTCCCAGTGACACGTTGAATAGATATATTGAGGGTTTTCCTGGGGAGTTGCCGCGATAATTGAAAGATATATGTAAAAATTAGTAAATTAGTGAAGCAACTTGATGGCCGGAATAGTAACGCCGGAGGTCAGATCCCGCAACCGAAGCGCAGTACTCCGCACTTTGTTCTGCCCGACGTCACCGCCGCCGGAAGCGGGTACCGCCCAATACCGGAATATCGGCACGAAGTATACAGGATTGCTGGGATATTGGGGGATACGGCGTTGATTTCTATGCTTTTGAATGTAAAGTAAGTCCATCCATGTTGTGTAGCTGAATATTGCCTACTATAGAATATCTGGGAAGCCTTTTCATACGCTATTAGTGGTGTGTACACTAATAGCCTACCTTAAGCTGCAGACTAAGGCCTAGAGACCTATAAGAAGGACCCAAATGTACCCCGACACTCTAGACCGTTCTAGCATGCTTGGATCTCTACTGCCAATGCTGGTATCAAACAATATAACCACTCACAATAGAAGTAATCCGACCTGCCAAGATAAAATACAATATGCCGTAATAATACAGTCATGGGGACCACTCCCGCCAGTGACGGGCTGAATGTAATTACCTCACTACGAAGAAATCAAGATTTTCACTTCTACAGAGTCATCCCAGACTATTGTTCCCCTCTCTTCTTTCTCGCCTCTTTACAGCCCTTGCTTGCTTTTCATCCTTTGAGCCTAGGATGAGGCCGGCCGTGCACCTAAACAAGCGTCAGCGCCCCGTTGACTGTGCACCCACGTGGTCCGACCTTGCACTGTGAATGCTCGGTTTGGTAACATTCCACTATGTTGGCATCTTCGCCCTCGCCCTCGTCGGCTGCTTTGCGCTCCCCACTCCCTACTTCCGGATCGCATTTACACTATGAACCTACTGGCGCTCCACAATTCAATAGTCCTCGTTCCTCGCGTCTGGCCATTGAGGAACTTCGTTCGGCCTTGAATCGACATACCGTCGATCCCTCCTCTCCTGAAACCCCAGGGGATCTTCAACACAGACGCGCATCTGCATCTGATTCTCTGAAGACCCCGAACAGTTCGGCCTTAGCCACCACCGCCCCCCAAGCCAGTTCCTCCACTGCCGCTGTGACCACAGCGACAGCCTCTGCCAACCCAGCCCCGGCTTCCTCCACCGCCCCCTCGATGCTCGCCCCTACCACATCAGGCTCCAACAAGCGCAATAGCCAAAGTGACCATCACCCACCGGCTGCGACGCCGGGGGGTCAGTCCGATGGCCAGGACTTGGAGAGTCCCCAGTCGAAGCGCTTGCGAGCCTCCAAGCCGGAGGTGAAGATTTTGCCCGCGGAATACGAATTCGCAGAGCCGCGTGACATGGTAGTGCTGATTTCCAGCATGCTCATGGAGCTGATCCGATTCAACGACAAGATTCCACTACACCAGGGTCGTCTAACTCGCTTCCACTCACGTTCTCCGCCCCGAATCTCCGTACAAGATTACCTGCAGCGACTGACGACTCACGCCACTCTCTCACCCCCCATTCTTCTCAGTATGGTCTACTATATCGATCGACTTTGCGCGCTGTATCCCGCTTTCACCGTGTCTAGTCTGACCATCCATCGATTCCTAATCGCCAGCGCTACTGTCGCCAGCAAAGGACTGAGCGACAGCTTCTGGACCAACAAAACGTATGCTCGAGTTGGCGGAATTGGCATGACGGAATTGGCCATGCTTGAACTGGAATTCCTCTTCCGAGTCGAATGGCGGATCGTCCCACAACCGGAAGTGCTTGTGGACTACTATCAAAGCCTCGTTGATCGATGCGACGGTTTTGAGATTGAACACACCTGCAGCAACGGCGATACCATGGCCGGGCCACCCGGTATTGCACCTGCAACAGGTATTGCTCCAGCGTCAGGCTAGACCAACGCGCAATCACCCGGGGCCCCCGATGCGGACTCGGCACAAACATTGTTTTGCCACAGCGAACTCGGGCCGGTCTCGAGTCAGCTGTGCATGTGTGGATTCTTCATCTCATCACCGAGTCACTCGAGGTGTGATTTAATACGTACGACTTGCATTTCAGGGACGCTGATGTAGTCCTCTACATCATTGGTTTCCTTTGTTCTAATATTGAGGAACGCACACATCAGACGTAATGGCACTATAGAGCAGGGATCTATCTCAGCATATATCAAGGGTGGATGGGCGATGCCATGTTCCTTTTCAGCGATTCATTTACAGCGGAACGATCCGGCGTTTGATATCTTATGGGTGATGACTGGTACCTACGATCAAATTCCCAATCTTCACTTTTGTCTTAAAATACACAAACTTTGTATATTCAACTCTGTAACACCGAGCATCTCCGTATCTCCGTAGACCAAAAAGGCCGGGACTGACGTTTGCAATGTTTGCTCTTTGTATAGCTTTCCCTTTTTTTTTGTCTCCGACTTGAACTTCTTCCTTATCTCTTTCACTTGAACAATTGAGGTTGCCATGCCTGAGACCTGAATGCCAGTCCTCCTCTTTTGGTGTCTCTCAGACTGCCATTGAAACCGGTGTGACGGACATGAACATGTTTTGTCCCGCTTCATTTTAGCCCCGCGGTGGAGCGATACTCCAATACGTTGCCCATGGATATTTTCATTTTTTGACGCTACCACAATGGACATTGAAAAGACTATCAGGGACCTCCAGCCCCTCTGCGGGAAGGTCACCCCCATTCGGACCATTCAAGAGACAAGACCTCCAGAAGATTTTGGTATGGTTGGTATGTGACATCCTCTTGCGACATCAAGACTAACCCAGGAACAGCCGACGCCTATGTCGCAGAAGTCAACGTGAAATCTGCATCCAAAGTAATCAAGTGAGTCGCTTTCCTTTTTACTAATAAGACTGAGACCGGAATTGACAATCTCTCATCCAGGGCTCTCGACTCTGCCTTCCCAAAAGACCCTTCCCTCCCACTACCTCACCTCCGTCGCTTTGCCAAAAGAGAGATACTCCCACCGCAGCTGCGATCAGCAATTGAAGAACAAAGCGCACCTTTGACGGCACCAGTGCAGACGATCTTTGTCCTTATCTCCCCTCCCCTGCCTGCCCTTGACAAACTTCAGGCTCTACTCGCTCCATTTGCGCCGAATGCTGCACCCACCACCCCAGGCCAGACCCCCGAAGAAGCCTCGCCGCCCGATTCCCCAAGCCCAGAGATCTATCTACATCCCATCAGAATTCCTCTCTACCCACCCTTCAACGCCAAACAGGCTGATGCATGGACCAAGACCCTCTGGCCGGTGGTTTTCAACCCGGCTGCACCTCGCTCAACAGTCGCCCCGCCTCCTCAGACCTTGAATCGCGCACAGGAATCCATTGAGCCACGGGCTGGATACTATTTATCCCTCGCGCGCAAAGTCGCAGAGGAAGCAGAACAATCCGGGCTCGGCCGCGGTGTAGGCGCAGTGATAGTCGACCCGGCCATTGAGGAGCTCTCTGCCGCAAGCTGGGAGTCTGGAGCTGACGAGACAGCCGATTGGGATGAAGCAGTTCTTGCAGTTGCCGGCGATGCGCGATACTCCCGCTCCGAGGCTGGTGCCCCCTCCCAGGCACAGCTACATCCCGGTGTAGCACCGAACCCAGCCAGCGCCACATACAATGCAGATATCGAAGGCGGGCCCGAATTGCACGCATTGATGCGCGCAGCAGACCTTGTTGCCCGCTGGCGACGAGAGAACGATAACCGTGGTGATGTGACTGCATCGACTACAGACCCATCAAATCTAGGACACTCAGAAGATACGGCGAAATTGAGCCCGCTCGAATCATACTTCTTGTACCGCCATCGTTCTGGTACTTCAGGTACCAATATTGACGAAGCATCCTTTTCTCCGTCCTCTCCGAAAAAGAGGAAACACGAGCAACCAAACCCCGAGTCTTGCTCTGCCATCGACCCATCCAACCCCGAGCAGTCTCAGCTTGATCACCCGCCTTTACCTGCCCCTCCTCCTTCTACAGCGGCTGTCTCTGATCCCCCCATACCAACTACAACCTCAGCAACTTCCCGCATCCGCACCCGCTCCCAGGGCGGTTATCTTTGTACAGACCTGGATGTCTATCTTTCCCACGAGCCTTGCCTATGCTGTTCCATGGGAATGCTCCTTTCGCGATTCCGGGCAGTAATTTTCCCCAGACGTGGGAGGTTGGAAAGTGGAGGTCTTGCCTCTGAACCGGTTGTTGCTCCTACCACTGATCAGATCGATCATGAGGATACTGGTGCTAACGGTCATACCTCTGCCGAGGCTGATACGGAAGGACAAGAGGAGAGGGGATACTACGGGCTGCACTGGAGAAAAGAATTGAATTGGCGAGCTCTTGGTTTCGAGTATGTGGAAGAAGGCGATGAAGAGAAAGAGGATGGACCTGAAAGACCCGTCTTCCATGCTTAAGCTGAAGCACGGCTATCTTGCAAATATCTCAGGGCTAAATCTGACCCTGACTCTTAGACCAATGTATGAACATGCAACCGGATAACTACAACCCACACTACATACCCCAAAACAATCTTGAGATAAACTTCCTTTGAAATTTTTTTTGTAAAGACAGGCTTTTAAAGTATACCTACGTCCCGACATTCTCTCCTCGCTTAGATGCAGATAGCCATCCAAACCACCAGCAGGCCACCTTGGCCCTTCCTTCGGCACTCCAATCCCTTCCTCACACCGTGTAGCTTCCACATCTCGCTCGTATCACCTCCCAACCAACAAGTCTCGGATGACCCCGACGCCCCGGGCTAAACAAACTCAGCCCCTTTTTTCACACCCGCGATCTATGCAAACAAAAAATCAGAGCAAGGAAATTCATGACATCGTCACAGATTCTCCTGCGTCCATGGCCAAATATCGATCGACATGGCAAAGTACATAAAAGGAAAAGCAAAGTAAATCGGAAGGCAACGTGGAAGAAAGTAGCATAATGGCTATTCCCTCCGCCCTCCCTGCGCCTCTTGCGCAAGGCCAAAATATGGCTTCGAAAGTGTCCATGAGAAAACGGAAAGGGGATATAAAAACCGAGATTCGACGTTCCCATAAGATACAGCCCGGAGATAGATGAAAAAGGAAGAAAATGACGTGGCTCAAGAGACAATGGGTATTGCAAAGTTGAAGATTGCCCGAAGTTCATGATGGCACATTAAAGGCAAAAGGGGAAAAGGTTAGGACCGTCCCATGAGTGAGAATGCTTGTAAAGCAGAGGTAGAAGATGGTGATGAGCCACGGAATTGAGGTCCGGGCTGTGTGGAAATTCGAGATGCTGCGATGGATGTAATGCAAAGGGTCCGCCATACTCTATGCCGCATCCTCCAGTGACGAGCCCACTGTATTGTGTTCAGGTGCAATGGCGAGCTGGGGGATTCAAGCACGCCGCTGTGGTGAAATGATATGTATGGCCTGTTAAAACAGGCGGAGGTAATCGCTGCAAGTGAGGGTTCAATGCATGGATTTGTAGAAGCGACACAGAATTCGATGCCGCAGAAACTAAGGGTATGATGCTTTTGAATGCATGGAAGAAAATGTCTAGCCTACTGCTGGGGCTGGACGAGATGGCTGCGTAAAGGACCATGTCAAAAGGACCCTTTTACTGCTAGAGGCTCAATCCATGCGTTGGTAGAACAGCAGGTAGGCAACCTTGTTATCGCGGGAGCCAAAGCGGCCAATTGGAGTACGCACGCCAGACGAATGACCGGGGGACGGAGTGACTCCGTTGACAGATTTCTTGCTCGCATGTCCGCTGATACCATTGCCGTTGACCTGGCTCCAGCCCTTGTCGCTATCAGCTGAGTCCATGTCATCCTGGTCAATGTGGTCGAAGATGTTGCCGTTGAGAGTCTTGTTCTGCTTGTGTTGTTCCAGAGCCGCAGCAAGTACCTTGGGATCTTCCTCGCCACCAGCTTCCGCCACGTCTTCGCTGCGAACGCGACGGATGATAGTATCGTCCATACGGATCCATTCCAAGCCTTCCTGGCGACGAACATCGACCGTGTAGTGGCCGCCGCTGGCGTTCTTTCCGTGGTGGTAAATGACTCCCATAAGACGATACTTAGGGGGACCTCCCTGGGCCGCCATAGCGTTACGCTGGTGGGCCGGGAAAACCTCCCGTGGCAGCTCCAAATCCAGAGGATATCCGACCTTCTTCCAAATCTTCTGGGTGGCTCCAGTAGAACTGTCATATTGGAATCGCTTCAGATGAAGGATAAGGACAGGAGGCAAGGTCTCAATGAAGATTTGTTTCGTGGCAGTGACGTTGGGACCACGCGATGAGTTGAAATCGCCCTGGATACTCTCTGGCTTGGTCAGACCCTTAAGAGCGTCGAGAATGTTGTGAACATCATGCGAGCCGATATCCAGTTGCAAGGGTTGATAAGGTTCCAAGGTGACAGAAGTCTTGTTTCCGGGCACCTTAAATTCTGATCGAAGCTTGCCACCAAAGATTCTAGTGACTGGAGACTCCGTGGCGATGGAGCCAGATAGTTGTGTCACCGCTGCCTTTTGCTTGTGGCCAACCTCCAGCCAACCATCAGCGCCAGAATCATCGGATTCTTCGGTTTTGACCGATGTATACTTGGCAGCACGGGCACACTCCTCGTGCATTTCCTCAAGAAGGAACCCAAGGAATTCTTGGGCATCTTGTTGGTGGCCACGTCGCATGTCTCTGAATCTTGGTAGCTGTCGGACCATTTCGTAGACAAACTCAGGAATGAAAGCTTCACCATATTGCTCAAGCTCGGTAGGCTTCAATCTAAGGCGCAGCTGATCTTCCGAAGTTGCAGCGTCGATAACGCGGAACTCTTTCATGAACATAATCATCGCGTCGATCAAAGGAAGATCGCTATGGAAGCTATGCGAAGCTCGGCGGCCAAGATGATCAAGGAACTGGTAAAATGGCGTACACGAGACAAGAATTTGCAACACCGAGTTCATGTAGCACATGTTTCCAGTGTTGACAAGACCTCGAGGCTCCAGGAACGCAATCTTATCACTGTACTGAGTTACATCCTCACCCAGGGTGACCAGGACATCTGCAAGCGATTCGCCCTTCTGAGGTACTCCATTCGATGTGACCGAGGCGGAGGCGGCGGTGCCCGCTGGCTTTGCAGATGGCTTGGAGCGGACCAGATCGGCCCAGCGCTTGTTTGTGGCAGGAACAGGAGAACTTGTCTTGGCTTCAGCGACAGGAGCCGTGTCAGTTTCCGTCTCTACAGTAGTCGCTGCAGTAGATTTGGGCGTTCCAGATGTGACGCTGCTGCTGTCTTTGGTATGACGACGTGGGGTGGCTGGGACATTCGGCACTACTGGGACAACGGGAGCAGGGGCAGGCTTTGAAGACTTGGAGTGAGCCTGTGATCTTGCCGTGGAGGAAGGTGTGGTAGGCTGCGTGGAGTCGGTATCCGATTGTTGGAATGTAGTAGTCGGGGTTTGGGGCTCCGAGGGTGCTTGAACAGATGATGACGGCTTAGTTTCTTCTTGATTGTCGACCTCAGTGACCTTTTGCGCGTCTTTATCAGGCAGTTCAACCGAATATTGCATTACACGGCCCTTGCGACGTCTGCGTGGGACTCTAGCCGGGAAAGGCTGCTCGGGGACAGACAGCCAAGGAAGCTATATTGTTTGTTAGTGAGCATTCGGGTATGGTTTAGATAGGATTTGTGATGGGAACTCACAGGCGCGGTGAAGGCGGGCTTAGGTGGAAGGCTTGACTTCGGCTCCCATCGCGGAGATGGGGAAGCGACAGGATATACTTGAACAGGTTGAGGTAGCACGGCGGGATGTTCGTGCATTTCGGGTTGAAACGACGAAATCGGGATGGATGGAGACATTGTCGGTTGTAGAGGAGTCGGGATTCTTTGTTGCATCGGCATCGAATGAGGGGGAGATGAGTGGGTGCCATAACAGGTTGCGAATGAGGGTATGAGGATACGATCATTGGGCTATAAGGATGCGGCTGGTATGGACGTTGCGGCATCTGTTGAATATGGCCATATGGCGGGTACCATTGAGGGTATGCGTGCGGTGCGAAGGACTGAGGTATGTTGCCATTCATGTGTGGATGGTACCCCATGTATGGCGAAGAGCGCATGTTCGGGGGAACGGTGTTATAGGGAAAATCCTGCTGGCGTCGCTGGGGAGGCACGGGCTGCCCATGCTGCATTGCGGGCAGATGATGATTCATTTTGACCAGGCTAGAGAGAAATTGCCTTGACGGTTGGTCACGCGTTTACCTCAAATGAATGCCATACGCGATGGTAGTCAAGTTGGACCTAAATATGAAGCTGCGGGCGCATTTACGCAGCCATAATGGCCTCGGCGGTGTGTAAATTATATTGCTAGGCGAAGACTGAGGATAGGTTGGGGAGAGTTGTTGGGTTGGACCGCTGGAACTGTTTGGAAGGAGATGGCAAATTCCGTCGCAGTAAAAGAAAAAAGATCACTGTACAAGTCGCTCTCACGCGGAAGGAGCCGAAAAGTTGGATGAGAGGCCAGTGAAAAGAAACAAAGAAATACGAGATGAGGCAGCAGGCCTCGATGCGTCAAACGAAATGTACCTGAAGAGCGAATTGGTTAGATCACGTGAGCTACGGCGGTTATGTAACCGTCGCCCCTCCTCGGACTTCTGTACATCAACTGGCACCCTGAGGGCCGTCCTGGCTCGGTCTACACGTTATTCTTACAAGGCCTTTGCGGCCACTGTTCATTCTTTTCTCTAGTTCCAGTCTAAACTTGGTGGATGACTCAATTTGAGGACTAGCTGAGAGCAATCTGAGAGCTGATTGGCCTCTTATCAGCCGGTTTATCCAAAGCCCCTCGCCTTCCAACAGCTTGTTGGTCCTCGTTCCCATTAAGCCGCTTTCTGCAGCAAGGCTGGACGTTTGTTGGTGCACGGTCAACATTCCCGAGAGATGTCATCCAATGCAGGACAAAATCCGCCTCCTTCAAAAGCGGTAAACATCTCTACTATCTCGTCTCCAGCATACCACCCCACAGCTCCCACGGAAAACAGCTTTCAGAGACGTGGAAGCTCTGGAAATTTCAAAGCCGGTCCATCCTCCAGGAACTCACCTGCTCCAAGGAATAACCAGGCTCGTAAGAACCAACACAATCGGCAGAGAAAACCTCGGCTGTTGGATGATGACGAGTATAACGAATCGGTGGGTTAACAGGTTTATCTTGAATAAGAGTCGCCTGCTGACCTCGAATCCGACTTAGGCCGCCATGAAGTCAACTACCAGTCGTAAGGGACAGACTTCCATCACTCACTTGATGAACTTCTCCCTCCCTCCACGCCCGCAATACCAACCGCCTCCTCGCAATGTCCGGCGGTACACCTCCTGGGGAGCAGGTACTGTGGATAAAGCACGTTATGTTCATGCAAATTACAGATTTATCGTGATGCCGAATCAAAACTTCCATGCGCAAGCAGCCAACGCAGACGTTCATCTCGACTGGGCCTCTGTTCTTCAAGTGCTTGCTTCTGCTCAGACACAGGCTGCCGGTTGTCCTATTTGCTTGTCTACTCCGGTAGCGCCACGAATGGCACGATGTGGTCACATCTTCTGTCTCCCATGTCTTATTCGATACATGCACTCGTCCGATGATGACAACTCTGTGCCTGAAAAACGGCACCGGTGGAAGAAGTGTCCCATTTGCTGGGACTCTATCTACATTTCAGAGACCCGTCCTGTTCGGTGGTTCCGTGGCCAGGAAGGCGATCTACCTGTTGAAGGCGGTGATGTGGTACTGCGACTGATGAAGCGAGGATCAGGCAGTACCCTTGCTCTTCCTCGTGATGGGTCCGAGACACTTGGACCAGGCGAGGATATTCCATGGTATCATGTTGCGGAAGTAGCAGACTATGCCCGAATCATGAAAGGAGGTGAAGAATACATGATCTCCCAGTATGATTCCGAAATTGAGGATCTCCGCAAACAGGAAGTTGAGGATGAGCTTCTTTTTGGTGATGAAAATACCTGGACGCGAAAGGCAATCGGTTCCATCACAGAAGCCAAAGAGAAGCTGAAAGGTATTGGCAATCCGCCCGAGGTCCGGCCAGCCAAGGAACGCTCTGTTGTACCGGCGTCTGCAAGTACTTCTTCAGCAACTTTCACGTCTACGCCAGCTACATCAGATGAACCAGACCACCTTTCCCATGCTATGGACGGTGTCCACCTTGATATAGAACCCAGCTCCAAGTCCAAAGACAAAGGCCGCAGCAAGGAAAAGCAGCCGTCTTCCGGGTCAGAACAGCCCTATTATTTCTATCAGGCCTTACCTCAGTTTTATCTCTCGCCTCTCGACATCCGCATTTTAAAGGCTGCATTTGGGGAATATGGACAATTCCCTGCAACTATTCTACCACGAGTGGAGCACATATCAACTGGTCATATCATTGATGATGAACTCCGCAAGCGAGTGAAATACCTCGGACACCTTCCACAAGGATGTGAGGTCAACTTTCTCGAGTGTGATTGGAGGGACGTAGTTGTCCCTGAGATTTTGGCACAATTTCGCACTGAGACCGATAGAAGGCGAAAGCGTAATCGAGAGAAGGAAGCACGAGAAGAAAAGGATCGGATCCGTGCGGAGAAAAAAGAAGATGACGAACGTTGGGCTGCTGCTCGGCGCAAGCGACCAAGCTTTGGAGGTTCCAGTGAAGCTCCTTTCTCTGCTCGTGATTTCCACCCGCTGCCTAACAATGTTGACCCTTCGCTGTTCGACGCCGGCACTTCATCGGCCTCTCCTCCACGCGCATCGTCAGGATTTGGGGCTTTGGCCTCCCCTTCTACTAGCCCCCAGGCACCCGTACTGTCTGGGGAACAACGGCAGTGGCCTCGCTCTCACCCAGCCTTGAAGCTCCACGAGTTGTTCCCAGCGACGGCTGGCGACAGGGTTGGGAAGATGAGCTGTTCGCTCAGCAAGAGTCTGATCTAATGGCTCAAACAGCTATTGCAGATCAAAATCCTGGTCCATCAACTGGCGGCAAGAAAAAGAAGAAAAACAAGATCACCTTGATGTCTACTAACATTCAAAGAGGAGCGTAAATCTCTACTTGGGGAGTCCTCTCTCTCTGTTGTCTATATGGATCCAAGTTTTATACATTGGAGAGCATGGGTTGGAGTTTTATTGTTTTTACCTTCCTTGATCCCCATCATCCTCTACTACATTATTATATTTACCATCTCACCGGATGTTTCTGAGTCTTGTGCGAATACGTTCTAAGTTCGCATTCCAGTTTTACTGTTGGATTTTCTACGACACGAATGAAAATAAACATACAAATACAGACCTTGAATACAGATACAGTACACTTTTACCAATCACTTTCTTTTGCGGAATAGAAATGCTTGAAGAAAGTGTCACCAACAACTGTGAAAAAGAATACAAATGTCAAACAGGAACAGGACACATTTAAGACGAATTTAGTAGAATAATATTATGTTCAGTGGTACAGAGAATGTCCATTTACTCCAGATTCCAAGCCATGAAGGACTTGGCACGACAAAGAGGCAGTTGACAACGAGCCCCCACTACACTAGAGCCATGGACCATCTCAGCAATTCAGAATATATCGGCTATAACTAGTTAAATTGCTTTGTGGGGAGGTGCACGGAAGGTCTACGTCCCGGTAATTTGCAGTAACGTTAAATGTTTCCCCCCTTTAATTGTAAGTATTCCGTTGGGTTGCGTAGATAGTTACATGATTTTTCACGTAGTTCATACAGTTGACTGAACGCAATTGCTCTGCAGCGGCTTATATTAATGCTCTACTCTGCAATTGAAAGAAAAAGAAATGGCCTTTCCACACTTGATATAAAGCCTGAAAACATGTAGAACCGGGTCAAAATATTTTTCAATATATTATGTAATCATACGGGGAGTGAACAAAGTAAACATTCAGAACATTCTTGCTTTTACCCACTCTCGCTCCCCTTTACCTTCTTTTTCTCCTCCTTTCCCTCAATTGCAGTCGGAATTTTGGTCTTCCGATTGAGCGACCATGACATTAACCCGTTCTCAAACGGGGAAGACCCCAAAGTAAGTAGTTCCCACCGGATCCCTGTTGCGACGTATCCACACCCTGAATACAAGATGGTGGTTATATCTTGCCAATTCCCCCCAGCGAACTTTGTCTTGTACGTTTCTGTCAGGCTAATTAACATTCCCTCCTTTGTATAGGAAAATGGATCGCCCTGGGTTCATTGAAACCCCCGGCCGTCGTGTCACCCGCAACAGCTCCGTGTTCGACGGCAGCGAGAACGAGGTGCTCGATTCCCCCTCCAATGAGCGATCCAAGTCGGCCACCCGTCGTCGCACCTCGGCCAAGATCAAGATTGAAGAGGATGATACTCCGGTGAAGGCCGCGACCAATGGCAAGGCTGCCACGCCCAAATCGAAGTCCAAGTCGCAATCCAAGTCGCGCCTTGTGGATGGCTGGGAGGAAGGCCTTGACCCCAAGGTTGACTACAGCGGTCACTTTGAATTCGGTGGCTCGCTAGGAGTTCTATCTATGATGATTGGATTCCCCATGCTCATGTATTACATGTGGATTGGCGCTACTTACTATGATGGCAAGTTCCCTCGCCCTGCGGAGGGTCAGAGCTATGGCGAGTTCTTCGCACACCTGGTCGATCTGGTCTACACCGGTGCATTCCCCTCGGTCAAGGCGTGGGCTATCTACTGGGTTTTTTTCATTTTCGAGGGTGCTTGCTACCTGCTTCTCCCCGGCGTGAGCGTCTCGGGACGCCCACTGCCGCACATGGGCGGCAAGCAACTACCCTACTACTGCTCCGCGGTGTGGTCTTTCTACACTAGCATTGGACTTGCTCTTATCTTGCACGTCACCGGCCTCTTCAAGCTGTACACCATCATTGATGAATTTGGACCTTTGCTCAGTGTTGCCATCCTGTCTGGATACTTGGTTTCCTTCATCGCCTACTTCTCAGCTTTGGCGCGTGGTGCCCAGCACCGTATGACCGGCTACCCGATCTACGACTTCTTCATGGGTGCTGAGCTCAACCCGCGCATGTTCCAGATCCTCGATTTCAAGATGTTCTTCGAGGTTCGTCTTCCCTGGTATATCCTGCTGGGCCTGTCTATGGGTGCTGCTGCTCGCCAGTGGGAAATGTACGGCTACGTGTCTGGTGAGGTCATGTTCCTTGTCATGGCTCACTTCCTCTACGCCAACGCATGCTCCAAGGGCGAAGAATGCATTGTTTCTACCTGGTAAGAGGAATTCCAGAGACTGGTTTGGATAAAACTAACATTTATAGGGACATGTACTACGAGAAGTGGGGCTTCATGCTTATCTTCTGGAACTTGGCTGGTGTGCCTCTGAGCTACTGCCACTGCACTATCTACCTGGCTAACCACGACCCCGCCGAGTACCACTGGAACCGGTACTTCCTTGCCTTCCTCTACGTCGCCTATCTGTTCGTCTACTGGGTCTGGGACACCACCAACAGCCAAAAGAACCGCTTCCGCCAGCAGGAGCGTGGCACCATGGTGGCCCGCAACACCTTCCCCCAGCTCCCATGGCAGACCGTGGAGAACCCCAAGACTCTCACTGCTGAGGACGGCTCCAAGATTCTTGTGGATGGGTGGTGTAAGTTTATTCTGTGTCTCATTAACCTGCAATTCCCAATGCTAATATTCTGTGCAGATGGCAAGGCCCGCAAGATCCACTACTCGTGCGATCTTTACTTCGCCCTGAACTGGGGCTTGATCACCGGCTTCTCAAGCCCCTTCCCCTGGTTCTACCCAGTCTTCTTCGCCTGCATGATCAGCCACCGTGCTCTGCGTGACATCCAGCGGTGTCGCACCAAGTACGGTGAGACTTGGCTTGAATATGAGAGACAGGTGCCTTACCTGTTCATTCCTGTGAGATTCCCTCTCTGAACTACTTCAAACATCTTGCTGACTTTACTTCGCAGTACGTCTTCTAATCACAGCCTGCTGTTTTGGGGCTAAGTAGGATCTCGGCAATTGGGTCGAGCCTTTTTCTCTCTTCTGGTCTCACTAGACTCTTTTTTCCAACTAGAGGATACTCTATGTATAAAACGTCAAATAGATTAATACCTGCGATAATCCAAAATCGGTTTTTGTACGACTGTGATGACGGGTCACTTGGTGAAGGTTTACCTGGTTTTATAAATGATAAATCAATCAACTAAAGCTTCAATTATATTCAATTTAACTCTTATCCCTCTTCTATGGCAATTGGAGCTCCAAGTATAGAACGTCGCGAGGTTGATATGCCAAGCACATGACTGACCCCCGCGCCTTATCGATAATGATTTCACTCCTCCGCGCAGCTCTGTATTCAATTCGTTTCATACCAATTGGCTTCCAATTTGTCCCGGAGTAGTATTGCTGGTGTCAAGAAAACAAATATACACCATACATAATGTTGATCCAGGAATCTCACGTCGATGTGCCCACCACGGCCGACGGGCAGGGCAAGATGCGTAAGTACACTTTGCATCCTTACACTATCCCACTTGCCTACATAAATTCAATCTTGCTTTGTGATATATGTGCTGATCCTCTACTAGGCATCTATGTCTTCCACCCGACGATTCCGGGTTACCCCAACGCCCGATTCCCCGGCGTTGTTGTCTTCAGCGAGATCTACCAAGGTGCGTGGAGCAAGCCAACCCTCCATGCTCGATTCTTGTACAGACAGTAACATAATAACAGTAACCGGTCCTGTGGCACGCTTTGCCCGCCAGATCGCAGGCCAGGGCTACATTTGTGCCGCCCCGTCAAGCTACCACGAATTCACCGGTCCGGAAGCTCTGAAGTACGATGCCGAGGACACGGACAAGGGAAACGCATGGAAGATTGGTAAGGTACGCAAATCGAATCTCGTGCATCAATTGCATTGTCTCTATTTTTTACGATCCCCTTACTTGCTTTTTTCTTGGATTGCCGAAGCTGATAGCCCCAGAAACTCGCGGCCTATGACGAAGACGCTAGTCTCAGTGTGGATTATCTACTTTCGCTGCCCACATGCAATGGCCGCGTCGGTGCCACGGGCATGTGCCTTGGTGGACATCTGGCCTATCGCTGTGCGCTAGATGCGCGAGTCAAGGCCTCCGTGTGCTACTTTGCTACGGATATCCATAGCAAGACCCTCGCCCTGGGCAAGAATGATGACAGCTTGGAGCGGGCTGGCGATATCAAGGGTGAGATGTTGATGGTATGTTCAAAACGGTATATAAATTACCTTGATTGGTTGTTGACTACTGTATCTTAGATCTTCGGCAAGAACGATAACCATGTCCCGCCCGAGGGACGAGACCTCATTCGCAAGACCCTGCATGAGAAGGGCGTCTTGTTCGGCTTCTACGAGGTTGCGTGGGCACAGCGTGAGTTGCACGCATGGTTCTGGGATAGGGGTATAAATACATGTGAGCTGACGAGAATACTCCTCTAGATGCCTTTATCCGCGATGAACTCAGCAAGGGCCGGTACGATCCGGCTATTACCAAGGTTTGCTTTGAGATGCTGCTTGAGCTGTTTGGTCGCACTCTGAAGCTGGATCTGGGCGAGCACGATGGTAAGGAGCAGGTGATTGAGGATGTTTGTTAAGGAAGGGAAGGTGTGCAGGAAACCCAATAATTGGGAAATCAACTGGATTAGCTAAGGGGTATCATTAACAGAGCTATTCCTCCAGAGAACATAGCATTTGTATAAGCCGCGATTTGAGAATAGCAGATATCAGTCGCCTGGCCGACCATTCTTCAGCAAGGGTTTAGGGAAGACTTTGTTCTGGACCGACATGTAGGGATAGACAGTTAGCTTACAGGTATAGTATCCACTGTGATGATCAAGTCTGTGCTGTGTGCTGTATTGATACAGTAGTAAAGACATATATACAGTGAGTATTGAGTAGTGAGTGCAACTGGATCTCTCTCTTCTATTCTTAGCACGAGCAATCCATGGGTATGACTGTCGCCACTCCATGGAACCTCAAGTTTCCCCTTGTCTTAGTATTGAAGAATTTAGCTTGATGTTATGAGCCCTTATTTTCGCTGTTATTTTCAGACTTCCAAGATTTTTGCTAGAGCAACGCCTAAGCCACACTAGCGCCGGTGCTTCCCCGTTCGAGTAACCCGCTACTTGGGACTCTCATCTCTGTCCCCTCCCACACACGCTCCGACTCTCTCTCAAGCCTCCTGCTACTATTTGCCCTGAGATCCGTCGCCGAGCGGTTCTGACCAGTCCTCAGCGCGGGTCAGGGGATTCACAGAATCTTGGTCTAGCTTCGACACTCGCTTCGCCAAACATCGTCTTACCTCGCCTTCGCTTGGCAATTCACCATGGGCTCGACTCAATTCGGCAATTTCCACGTGAGTTATAAGTGTTGAGTTATGAATGATCGGCCTCGAGACCGCTCCTCCCGTCCAATAGAGACTGACCGCACGCCCATTGGGTATGACAGGACTTCTGTCGCGATTCGACATTACCGGTCTGCAATGTATGAGAACTTCTCCCCTTGTCGCTTGAATGTCAACTGACTGGATTTTTTTACGTATAGCTTTTCACCAATGAGACCGCTGCCGATGCCTTCGGCGCGTGCGATCTGGTCGGCATTCAGCTGAGCGGAGACAGACACCTTCGGAACCTAGGTACGAGCACAGACCGATGGGTAAACAACGACATTATTGAGGATGGTGGCTGACCTGAGACAGGGTCAATTCTGCTCGCCTTTATCGCAATTGTCTTGACTGTGGGCATGTTATGGAGGTCGGATAAGAAGCACGCCGCTGTCGGGCGCAGGTACGAACTGCTGGGATCTAAGACAAAACAACAACTGACGGATAGGCCTGGACAGGGAAATGCAATTGTTCCTGCTCGGATTTATCATCATTGAGATCTGCGAGATCTTCACTGTGGGCGGTTTCCCGCTGAGCGACGCGGTTCGGAAGGTAGATACTTGGGTTTTCATGTCAACACAGGGCTGCGGCTGACGGATATTCAGGGTTTTACTGCGGTGCACATTGCGGCGATCACTGCGACATGTTGGGTTCTTCTAATGAACGCGCTAGTCGGCTTCCAGCTTCTTGACGACGGTACACCAGCTTCAATCGGTCTGATTTGCGCATCTGCTGCGGTTCTCTTCATTGGTACTGGCTATATCGCCCTGGACACTGGATTCGACTGGACTGGCCATTTCCAATCCAGTCATGATGCGCCCAATCGCAATATCGCTCTCTACGTCCTATATCAGCTGTTCCCGCTAGTTTGCCTCGTGTTTTTCTATGTTCTAGAGGCCGTCCTGGTGCTTCGGGTTCTGGGCGAGTTCCGACCAATGTGTAAGTGTGCATTATGCCGAAGGAAATGGACTACGTGCTAACAGTGTAACAGTGTATCTTACCGGTGCTGCCTTGCTGTTTGCCGTTGGTCAAATCTTCAACTATGTGATCAGTACCCATCTTTGCCAGGCCTCGGATGGCAAGATCAATGGCGCCCTATTCGAGACCCTCTTCACCCTCCTTGCTGTCTCCGGAGTCTGGACCTTCTGGAGCAGTATCACTGAAGACGACTGGCCCCTGCCCGTGGGAGGGGGTGGTTACAACTGACTTGATATTTAGTTCCATGATTCCAGCTGTGTTTGTTCCATTCAATACCTCAACTTCTTGCGTGCAAATTTCTCGTTACCAGTTTTTTTGCCATACATAACATCCTTTTCCCGCAATCATTCAACGTCCCTGCTTTCATGCCTGTGACGAGTCTCAATTTTGAACCTTGGAACAGGACTATTAATGTTGTGATACCACATCCTCGGTCATGTTTCACGATTTACCTGCCATCCCATCCTTATGTGCCTCCACGGTGGTTTTCATGTCTTGCGTTGTGACTTGGTCTAGCCCCTTTATGCTTTTCTTCTATCAAAATACCTGCGGGAGTTTCGATCTGCCTGGTTTTAGACTGGACGCCCCCTACTCCGTTGGCATTTGTGCATGCTTTATTGTTTTTCTATTGTCAGATACCTCCCAGCAATGTACTTAGTTGTAGTAATCTATGTCAAATAACCGACTTTCAGCCTCCTCTCCCCTCCTGTACACCCATAGATCTATGAAAGAGCCGGTGGCCACGCAATCCACAGAAAACAATTCCATGTGAGCTTGTTCACAAGCCAATCCTCTTATGTCGACTGTATCTGGGACTAGGTTGGATACTACCTAACGTTACCCCAATTCGAACAACAAGGAAGCACAAATCTCCAAATGTGACCCAGTGTGACATCCTAGCTTGCACGCTTGCCTCATATATCGATGCGCCAACCCTTCACGAAGGTGACATCCGGCTAGACAGGCACACTTGCCCCGTGTTCTCTGTCCACGTCACTCTTTCAGTCTACTAAGGAACCCACACAGTTCCGATTGTATATAACCTCTCATCCAATCCAGCAATAGCGTGAACTAGTCCACCTGTGGCCAAATCTCCAAAGCGAATCGACCTTTGAGAAGCTCCTTTCCATACAAGTTCCTTTACTCAATATGCGTTTCCACATTACTGCCCTTATACTCGCCTCGGGCCTCGCCTCGACTACCGCGAATCATACATCTAATCACCGAAACCAAAGCATACGTATACACATACTTCTTTTGATATCTGGGGACTGCTACATCAAAACTCAAGGCCGGCATATTAACGAACTGTATACATAGTGCTCCAACAAAATCTCGATATCGTCCCTATGCTCCCGGAGGCATGTAATCTCGCGGCTTGTCTTAACCTTACTGCTCAGCTTACTTGTATTGCAAATGCTATTGTTAATGGTGATCCGGCTGCTCTGCAGGCCTGTTTGACGACTACTTTAACACAGGTATGTTACATTAGCTCCTAGAAAGTAGGAACGGGAGAAGCTAATAGCTTCGATACTAGATCTGCTCGTGTGCTGCTTGTATCCCGTTGCTAAACAATGTTCTGACGGCCCTTGGCGTTTGTCCAGTGGAAGCTCCAGCTACTGGGGGCGATCAAGACCTTGATCATGCCGGTCATGTTTAGTTTGGGCCCGAGGTCAGGCTTGGATATATGTCTAGTTTGCACGAATGCCAAAGCATGCTTTCTATAGGGATTTTTCCCTTAGGCGGTAGATGGTAGCCGTTCACGTGTCAAACAACGCTTTATTTTTGTAGCAGTCTAATTAATACCAATGGGGTTATGTACAATCAACAAGTGGTCATTCATAAGCGTTTATTGAGAATATCAAGCCACAATACAAGAAAAGGGAGTATAGTATCGTGTGATTTTGTTGCAGCTTCTTTTCCCAAGGGCCGTGCAGGCCTTACATAGAAGACCTGCAAAGGAAAAACGAGCCAAGAGAGAAGGCAGGCAATCCAGCCCGACAAGATTCTCCTCAAAGTCGGACCTTCACATCCACACATGGGAGAGTCCATTCCCGTCTGCCGAGAAGACTGCGCATCCATTCTAGTCCGACTCCAGTCCACTCGTCGGGCCTTGACTCCAATCCATTGGGGGCGAGTCGCTGCTGCACACCCTCCATAGCAGCACCAGCCAGAGCTTTGGCGGTGGAGTTCACTGTATCGAAAACGAATCCTGCCATTCCATCGCTAGGCGCCGCAACTGAAGCGTTGTTGCCCGAAATAGCACTGTAGTCGCTAGATTCCGAGCTGTACCGCGGGGCAAACCAGTTACTTCGCAGGTCAAATATACAGCGGTCTGACCAGTGACATGATGATACGAAGAGGATCAGGAGAAGGGCCGAACAATAGACACATGGCCGGTGGATGATATATGTTAAGGCGACGAACGAGACGATGAAGAGTGGTGATGCGTTGGTCGGGATGAAGAGGAGAGGTAGCCAACTGTAGTACATTTCAGTCATGTCAGCTTGAATCGTCTAGCAGGTAGGTTGCTCTTAGATTTCACGCACCTTCGTAGGCAGAACATGATGTGAAGGCGATTGCGGGCCACTTGCCTTCCAACGGAAGGGCGCAGGCAAAATCGGCACTGGGGATGATGGTTGTCGTTTGAAGGCCTCGGCAATGATAGTCGAGTGAGATCAGCCTGGCCACTTATTAGATTATCAAAATAGACAGAGGTTTGAGAGACGTTGAAGTAAAAGTAGACCCAAATGACGCGAATCGGGCAAGAGATGTCAGCCACACGTGCGCCACATTTATCAGCCACAGCCACACCCACGCCCGAACAATATTACCAGTGAACTCTTCTTCCCTTCGCCCTTCTTCTACTTCGCCCTACACTCTTCAATTTCATCTCTCTTTGCTCGAACTTTTCTCTGATTCGCTCTTTCATTGCTCATTTTAGCTTGCGAACTTTATTTACCCCCTGCTGCTCTCGAAGCAGAGCTTCTGAGAGCTTTGCAAAGCTTGGATTCATCAAACGGAGGTCGCCTTGTAACCAAGGCGTGCGGCAGAAATGTCCACCCCCAACGATCTCCAAGCCCTCTTGGCGAGCATTCGTCCCCGTCCGTCCCCATCGAACACTCCCGGCCATGATAATCCTCAGGCTCAACGCCAATCGCACTACCAGCCTGGCATGTTCCCGCCGCATCCTCAACAGCCCTATGACGGTCAGAGCTACCCCCATCCTCAGTCACACGGCTACCATCATCCATCCGTGTCATCGACAATCCAGAGTCCCGCACCCATGAACACTCCACCACACCAGGGCTCCGACATCATAAGCCCGAACGTGCCAACTCCTCGTGGTGAATGGCCTCATCAGCCGCAGATGACGAACAACCCTGACCGTGCTGTTGACCTTTTGAGCCTGCTCAGATTCAACCAGGGTGCTGGTGCTGTCTCTCAGCCTCAAGCCCCAGCTGCTGTCGCTGAACACCTACGCTCTCCGCAAGTCCACGAACCTTCCTCGTCGCACGGACGAAACATTTCCGCGTCTGATTTGGTTGCTAGTTTGTTCGGTCAGAACACTGGTGCTTCTGCGACCCCCGCAGCTGCCCCAGCTGCTGTTTCCCCAGGATTTCAATCTGGTCATCCCGAGGGTCCCAATGAGAACACGCAAGACATGTTGCTTCGTCTGCTCAACCGTTCTCAGTCCGGCCCTACTGTCGATCAGTCCGCCCAGGCTACAGCCCAGATTTCTGCCGCAATCAATGAGCCTCAGGTCGAGATGACCAAGGATGTTCTCATGGAAGTTGTAGATGAAAGTCCCCAGGGGCCTGCGCACCCGGAAACGGTCGCATCCCCTACTTCAAAGGATTCTATGTTCACCTATGTGAACCCCTTCGACCAATTGGCCGCTATCTCTCCTCGCAATAAGTCTCCCCAGCCTGCCTCGGGTAACCAGAGCCCGGCTGTGGAAGTTATGCAGAAGCAAAAGATCAACGTTACTGCTAAGCTGGAGCCTTCGCCGGCTCCCAAGCCTGCTTCTCCTCGAGAGAGAAGACATTCGCCAGTCCTGAACGATGACCAGCGCGAGGCTGTGAATGGTGTCGTCGGCCGTCTCGTAGATGAGATTGGCCGTTCGCTCAGCAGTGGTGAGTCTCAGGCCGCAGCCGAAGCGGAAGCTGCTGTTTCTGTTGTCAAGGATGAATCCTCTGAGTCAGTCCTTGCATCGATTGCCAACAATCTGCGTGAGACTGCTGCCGACGCCAAGGAAGCCGCCGCCTCGCTCGACGAAACTGTGACGGAGACCGTGGTGGAAGCTGCTACGGCTCCGGTCCCTCAGAAGGCGAATGAGAACACCGAGGCTTTGGCTGATAGCTGGGAGAGCGCCGAGGACAGCGCTGAAAAGGAAGAAGAACGAGTTGTCTCTGTTCACAACTTCCCTATGAAGCCGTTCATCTCTATTGCTGTCAAGCCCCAGTCTGGAAAGCTCAACACCTTCCGCGATGATGATGTTATGGATATTGCCCGTCTGAAGAAGGAATTCGATCAACTTGACCGTTCGTTGACTGCAGCTACCTCTGAATACATTGTGTACGCGCTCGCCAAGACCGGTGGAATTAGAATCATTCGACAGGATGACGGTAGTGACCGTCAGGTCTTCCGTTCCACCCGTGATCGTGTGTTCAATGTCGCTCTTTGCACAGCCGGCGACTCTGAGGTTCAAGCCATCATCGGCATTGGAGTCAGTGGCTCTGTCTATTGGGCTTTGATCTCCCGTTCTGGAAAGGACTTCTTCGATATGGATGCTTTGGAAAGTGAAAGTTTGGTCTTCCCGCCTTTCCCAGCCTCCGACGAGAACACCTCTGGCGGCCAGCTGAAAACGCGGGCTAAGCGGAGCACTCGTCACACCAACCTGTTCGCTATTGGACGGGGCAAGAATATCTACGTTATTTCTCCCAAGGCGGCCATGAACCCTGCCTATGGCGTTTCCGGCACTCAGCGCACCGTCAACACTGAGAAGTTCTTCAAGGAGCGTGCCTTGAAGATCTCTACTGGTAAAGCCGGCAAGGACTTTGCTTTCAGTGACGATGATTCTGTCATTGCCTCTCTGGACAAGACTGGTCGCCTGCGCTTCTGGGATATCAATGATATGCTCACCGATGCGAGCTTACTAGAAGGCCCTCCTCCGGCCGAGATCCGGGTCCCCTTGACCACCTTTGTCACTGGTTCCCCGACTGAGAAGTCTTGGCCTACCTCGGTCCTTTTCCTTGACAAGCTTCGTGCTTATTCGCGATCCATGGCGCTGCGCTATGTTCTGGTTGGACTGAAGCAAAACCACACCTTGCAGCTCTGGGATATCGGGCTTGGCAAGGCTGTGCAGGAGCTGAAGTTCCCTCACGAGAATGAGTCTGATGCCATCTGCAGTGTTGCTTATCACCCAGCATCTGGGGTCATTGTTGTAGGACACCCTACGCGCAATTCGATATACTTTGCGCACCTGTCCGCACCGCGATACAACTTGCCTCAGATGTCTCAGGCAGCCTACATCCAGGCCCTCAATGACAAGGACAACGCTCTGCCCAAGCCCGAGTCTACCGCCTGCTTGAGTGGAATCCGGGAGATCTCTCTCGGTTCCAAGGGCCAGCTGAGAAGCTTGGAGCTCCTTCCCATCTCCAAATCTGCCACCGAGAAGCGTGGTACTGAGGAGTCTGCTCTGTTTGAGCTGTACGTCATGCACTCTCGTGGTGTCACCTGCCTGAACATCAAGAAGGAGGACTTGGGCTGGACAGCCGATAACAAAGTCATTCGGCCGGTTGATGCTATGGAGCACGGCCTCATTGAAATCAGCGACCTGGCGACTTTCCCGAGCTTCACCACTGATGAGCCGTCCATCAATGGCGACAATGTCTCAGTCCAGTCCCGCGCTGGTACCAAGGAGCCTGCCAAGAAGGCGGATGTCGGAGAGTCGACTTCTGGTGTCGCTCCTTCGCGTAACGCATCACCCATTAAGTCGTCCAAGAAGAAGGCTGTTGATGAGCCCACCGAGGTAGCAGCGACGCCCATCGTGGCTGACAAGTCTGAAAGGAAAAAGAAGAAGAAGGCTGCCGCCGCTGAGGCAAAGGCAAAGGACCCTGTCGCTATTGCTGGTGTCGAGCCTCTTCCGGTTCCTCCTGTCGCTAAGGAATACGAGACTCTTGCCTCATCCACTGCGGCAATGGGTGCAACCCATGCTGCCGACCATGCCGTCTCTGCCACCCCCAACTTGTCTAGATTCAATCTTTCCAGTGAGGCCCTGGGCAGACATATCCAGAACCTGGAGAACACTGTCTCGACCCAGTTCAGCAAGACTCTTGGACTTGAATTCGACAAGTTGAACCGTCTATTTGACGATGAACGCCGCCACTGGGATGCTGCCGGGACCGCCAGGCAGGATCAAGTGTTGCGCTTGGTCTCCGACTCTCTGTCTGACAATGTCGAGAAGAACTTGGCCCGCATTGTCTCAACTAGCATTCAGAGTGATGTGATCCCCACTCTCACTGATGGCACCTCGGCTGCAGTCAGCAAGCAGCTGAACGGCGTCGTCGCCCAGCAGCTCGGAGTCACCTTGAACGAGGAACTGCGACAGGCTCTTCCCAAGGCGGTCATCAATGCTATGCAGCAGCCGTCTGTGATCAAGGGTGTTACCGATTCCCTCGCCCAGAAGCTTTCTCCTCGCATTGAGGCTGAAATGATCCGCGTCATGCAGACCTCGCTTGCCCCCATGCTCGAGAGCCTGGGACGTACCACACAGAAGGTGGAGTCAGACATGGAACGTCACTTGCAGGCTCAGATTAAGTACTACGAAGCACAGCGCCAGGCTGACAATGCAAAGATCGAGGAAATGTCGAACATGCTGCGTGGTTTGTCCCAGACCGTTGCTTCTTTGGCCACCAACCAGGGCCACCCAAGTCCCCAGCGTGAGGTCCAGCGCGACGTTCAGCGTGAGGCCCAGAACGTCAACGTCAACAAGCGTGCCTCAATTGGACGTCCTTCTGGAAACCAGGCTCGCATGCCCCAGCAGCAACAGCCGGTGCCTCAGCCTGTCCCAGTCCCTCAAGCCGCTCCTGCCTCTGCCCCTGCCCCTGCCCCTGTCCAGGCACCTACTCCTCGGACTCCCGAAGAAGCCGAGCTGGCAGATATCGTTCATTGTATCAATGCCGGCCGCTATGAGGAAGGCACTGTCAAGGTTTGTTTCCGTATCATTCACCCATTTGATATTTCTACTGACATGATTACTCTAGTGGCTCCAATCTGACCAGCAAGCTGACCTCTTTGACAACTTCTTCGTTCGAGTGTCTCCTGCATTCCTGTCTCGACTTCCCGCAATCGTTCTGCTCTCCGTCGCCGTGGCTGTGACTTCTACCTGGCAGACCAACATCGGTCAACGCCTTCACTGGCTCGACGTGGTTCTCCAAAGTGCAAACCCCGACGTATGTTCTCACATCCATCCTCTTACCTCTTCGTAAAAATAACCATTTATCCTCTAGGACAATGACCTCCGTGAAGTCGCGCCCCGCATCCTGGACATTATGAGCCAACGCCTGAACACCCTGTACATGAACATCGTCGAGCGCAACCCGCACGACCCAATCTTGCGCCTTATTGCGCCCCTTGCCCGTCGTACCCGGGAGCTGCACTCCACCATTTGAGTGCCTGCATCTTTGTTTTTTTACTTTGCCTTCTCGCAAGGTCCGAATTCAATATCAGTTCGATGTATTCATGATCATGATCTTGACATCGGTACATTCAATGGAGTTTTCCTTTTTTTTTTGGCTTTCTAGTATGACGTGTAATGATATTGAAAGCATGACAAGGAAAAATACGAGAGGACGCCAGGGTCAATGAAGAATGAAAATTAATGGGGATGAGTGGGATGGTTGTGGTTTCAGAACGGAGGCAGTTAGATACTTCCTCTGGGGTATGGAGAATTGCAGTCTGCACATCCATGCCGCCAATGTGATCATCCCATGTGTTAATTGTTCCTTATGATAGCCATGGCACGGGCTGCGTTATGTCGGAGTTGTCGGTGTAGAGCTTTTTTTCTTTTTTCGCATCTTCGATGCTGGCCTGTATCTATCTCTCTTTCTGTGCTTTTTATTATTATGAGATGGCCTTATTATGAACCTCGTCATTCGAATCCTTTTGGTTACTACTCGTATTCAAGGTTGACTGTTTATGTTGCTAGCTCAGGGTTGAGCCAGAGTACTATGGGACGCTACATAGCACTTTGGACAAAGAATCTCTCGTGAATCAACTGGTACTCCATAGAGATAACGTGGTATGTGCAGAAAAGCAAATATCTATGTCCGATATAGCAATATGTCACGCTGATGCTATCTTCACTGGGTGACTGTAACAGCCAGAAACATGAAGCGACACTATTCTTCTCCTTCCTTCTTCCTTCCTTCTTCCTTCCTTCTTCCTTCCTTCTTCCTTCCTTCTTCCTTCCTTCTTACCTCTCCCTCCATTAATCGTCTTCCTTTTGACCAAAAAGAATATCTCCTCAAGTCATCAACCCCGTATCAGTCCACCACTTTTTTGATACAAACCTACCGGTCAGCCTCTTCAGCTGTCGGTTCCTGGAAGACAAGACGAACAGGTCTCTCAGGTTCATCAATCTGGCCAGTACCAGGCTGGTTCGACGGTGATCGAGGGCGAATCACCGAGCGATGAATGCCAGAGAATGGTCCGTTGGGCTCTCGTGCACCGCCACGCTTACGGCTTTGATGGCTGTTTACTTCCTCAAGCGGTGTGGCCGTGCTATGAGTGTGTCTAATGTTTGAGATTGGCACTGGTGTTGGCTCGTCGCTTGTGCCTGTGCTCATTGCAGTGGAAATAGTTCGCGGGAGGTGGTATCCTGCCTTTCCGACTGGGACAGAGAGACCGTGTACAACCTGGAATTGGTTAGCGGTTGATGGAATTAGAATTGTGCGGGATTTGAAAGACTCACAATGCTACAAACGACTAGGAACCAGACAACAACTTGAATGGTCTCGATGACTTGCTGAACATCCTCTGGGATCTCGCCGTTGACTTTGATCTCGCGTAGGAATTCAAGGCTGACGGATAGGTAGAAGATGGCTCCGACGCCAATCGGGCCGAAGAATCCGACGAATAATGCCTGCGAGACTAGCTCGATTTGGTGGATACCTTTGTGCATGGCGAAGACGATGGGCAGCCTTCGAACCAGGAGGATCAGGATTCCCAAGAAGATGAGACGGTAGATCGGAATCACGCTATTGTTCAGGAAAGATGACCATGGGCAGACAGCTCCGAACCACATGAACACAGACAAGTTGAGCAGCATATCGATGGTTGGTTGGAGGGAGTCATCCATAGTTTCGAGACGGAACCAGTCACTGTTGATCTTAGCTTCTTCCTGATATAGCTTTGGGGGTTAGACTTACTCTTGCGTAAACACGTTTCCAGCAATGAAACAAGCAAGTAAATCATCGGTTCCAATCAAACCGCATGTTCCCACGATAAACAACTATTATATAGATCAGCAAATGAGACTCCCATAATCCGGATATCAACTCACCGCAAGAGCAATGGCAAACACCAAGAAACTCTCCCGATCCACATAGCGCTTCTCTTCGGCCCAATGCAACAATTTCCTCGAGATATAACCAACAACTATTCCATATGCAATACTCAACAGGATTGTATAAGCCCAGGTCTCATAGAACCACAGCGCCATAGCTCTCCCAGCACCGCCACTATAGCTCTCCTTTGCCATGCCAGTATATTGCAGGAGATAAATCCCAAAGAAAAGGAAAGGATACCCAAGACCATCATTAGCGCCCGACTCGGCGATGATGATCCTCTGCAGCGGACGGGGAACGTTCTTGTCGGCAAACTTCCCCTTGACAATAGAGTTGGACAGGACAGGGTCTGTCGGGGTTACACAAGCACCGACGATCAACGCATGGAGGAACTTGAAGTTTGGGACCATGGCCCAGATCACCAGGCTGCTGCACAGCCACATAGCAGCCATACCCGGGCCGAGCAGCAAGGCCAGGCTCTTCCATTCGACCTGAAGGTAGCGTTTGGGGAGCTGCACACCGGCAAGGACCAGCTGTACACCTAGGACGAGACGGGTGAAGTGCAGCGTGATCGTTTCGAGGTTCTGTTCGTCATGCAAGGCATAGTCTTGAGGTCTTATGAAGTTCGCTGCATGTGGGGAGAATGCGACACCGGCTAGGAGAGAGATCACTATTGGCCGTTAGCAATTGTGTCGGAAAGGTGGTCACGGGAAGTACTGACAAGCCTCGGACAGGTAAAACACGTCCTTGCAAAGATAGGAGACAAGTCCAAAAAGGGAGATGAAGCCCCCTAGCGTCGCGCAGACGATGTTGAAGTTGATTAAGGCGAGTGTCGGCATGTTGATTGCATGCACCCCGCCTCGTGGGTTGTGATTTGCGGTCAAGAGCGATTTTGGCCAACTGCGAGTATATCGAGTCGGTCTTTATGAATCAAATAATATCAGGGAGGCCACTGCTCGCCCTGGAAATTTATCCGGAGACAGATGGAAATAACAAAGATTCAAGCGAATGTTATTCAATCATGATTTGGATATCCTGTGAGATACGCAACGCGAGCATTTGTGTTTGAACGACGGCAGGCTTGATCAGGGCAAACATTCATAAATCAGGGTAAACTTGGGGGGAAACAGGCAAGGGTGCAGATGTGCAGACACGCAGAGATGCAGAGATGCAGAAATGCAGAAATGCAGTGGGGAGGTGAAAGCGAAGCGGGAGAGATTCTCTTCAATCCGGGGGTCTTGGCAGCTTCTCCGATCTACAGTTCCTGAGATGTTTACACTTGACTGGCAATGGTTTTGGCTGTTGGTTCTCCAGCTTTAATTTTCATTATCCAAATAGCATGACTGCTTAAAAGTCTTCGTCAAAAACCTCGTCAGGCACATCTTGGGCAACCTCGAGCGCCTCTGCCTTGGCAGACACGCCCTGGTGGGCTCCATTGACCGCTAGACGATCGGCCTCTTCATTGCCAGGGTCTTTATTATGGCCCTTGACCCATTCGAACAAGGTGTTGACCTTGAGATCACTGCGTTCCTCGATCTTCACAAGAATTGACTCAATCAAATCTTTGTTCTCAACTGGCTTATTATCACGAGTCATCCAATTATTGCGACGCCAGTTGACAAACCACACCGTTACACAGTCAATCGCATATCGACTATCGGTGAATATAGTTACATCTCGGTGCCGGGGGGCAATGTCAATGGCCCGAAGAATGGCTGTCAGTTCGGCGCGTTGATTTGTTTGACGGCTGCCTTTGAGTGGCTCCGAGACATTTCTGCTGGGATAAGTGAAATGAGTTAGAAGTGATCAATAGACCTGGCTTGGTGGTGGACGAACCTTTGATCGTCAGGCCCGAAGTATACCCCTACTCCGGCCGATGCTAATGGGGTGCCATTCCTTAATGAACTTCCATCTGTGTATATCCGGAGCATTCCCGGAATTCCTGTGGATTGTGTCTTTGTTGCTGCCTTCTGGGTTGTGGTCTTGTACACCACTTTGCCAGTAGCCGGATCTAGAAGCACATTAGGGTCAAAGCCATCTTCAGCTCCCTGGGGCAATGGGCCATCACCAGGTGCAAACCCGACCACTTCGGCTTCTTTTGGTGCTTCAGTCTCGATTCCGTGGGCGCCAGACGGTACGCCAAATCCGACTGCGGGAACTAGTTTCTGTCCTTCCCGCACAAAGTCCTCTGCCTCCTCACGGGTCGAGAACTTGCGATATCGAGGCCGGGCAAACCCACGAATTTGTTCTTGTGCTTTGGTCCAGTCCGTGTATACGCCTGGGACTCGACCTCGTTGGATCCCGTAGAATCTAGTCTCCGCGGCTGAGGAAGCGCTCGTCGGAAGCTTGACACCGTTCAAAAACGCGTTCGCTGCTTCTTGTGAGGGAAATGATTGGACTAAAGCATTGATATTCTCAGTCACTTGCCAAATTGACGCGCCGGAACGACCACGGCGAAAAGCGCACTCACATATTGCTCCCTTGAACCCCGTTATTTGAGCCAGGCAGTCATTCCACCCATAGTAGATACCCGGTTTATGGCCTGCCTTGACGGCGTAGTATTTGGCTGGGGTATTTCTCTTGCGTTTTGTGCCGGCAGTCGGTGATGGTGAGGGTTTTGAGCCGGGCGAAGCTTTGGGGACCGGTGCGGGACTCGGGGAAGGAGTGGTCTCATTCATGGCGAAGGAGTAGTTGTTGGGTGTCAAATGGGAACTTCCGGTGGGGATAGGACTGAGAGATATGCCTTGGTGGGTTCCAGTGGGTGAGAATTCGTAGTTTTGCGTTCTATGCGTGCCTTGGCGGATAGGAAGAGATCGCGGAATTAATCGCGGGGGGCAGCTGAGGAGGGAACGCCGTCCCAGCTTCAGAGCTGACCAAACACGTCTGGGAATTTTGATTGCTTGAAAGGTGAGAAGTGAGTTATGCAGATATGCAGGAGCTTGCAGAAGAGAAGAGGGAATGAAAGAGGGGGAAGGGGGGAAGTGAATGCTGTTCTCGGAGTACTTGGCGATCTACTGTATGTCCGTGTTTCAGTTCTCAGTTCATACATTCCGTGTATGTTTCATGGCTTTTATATTGCCAACGTTCACTCATTGGTGTTTTATTGATGTGAAGATATTCAAATTTTTGGATTCAAAATATATATATCGATTCTCTCAAGCTCTTCCACAACATACACTTGATCATGTTTGGTATAAAACCTCGAGTAGATCTGTCGAACGAAAGCCAAAACTGAGTGATATTCTCAAACCACAGCTCGCACTCGCTCCAAGATAGCTCGAGTTTCCTGTTGGGTACACTTTATGACATTGTCGACAGATGCCACTGCATTGATACTTCCAATGCTAGCACCTCTTCGCAATATATTAACACAGCTCATCCAGAAAGGATATAGAGGAACTCACGCCCAAACGGTTCTTCTCTGGTCATCACCCGCCTTTCTGGCCTCATCGTACCGTCGAATAATCTCATCGTCACTGACCCCTTCCTCAGATTCCTCATAATTAACTCCAATAACAGCTCTCCCGTCATATTGCCTCGGAAAGACATCAGTTGACTGAAACACATCATGTCGAGTGGATTTAATAGTCGAGACTCCACCATCACTACTAGATACAATAGCCTCTTTCATAGCAGATGGTGCCGGACATTCAGAGGTTGCAACAAACTGGACCTTATCAGTACAAAACCATATATACCCAAGTGGATCAAACTTACCCTTGTGCCCATGACGATTCCATCAGCACCTACACATAAATTGTCAGTAAAATGTACACACAAGGGTACTAAGAAACAAAAACTCACCGAGACCAAGAGCAGCAACACACCCTCTCCCATCCACAATACCACCAGCAGCAAGGACAGCAATCGACCAATTCTGAGTGTTCAACAACTTATCCCGTACCTCAGGCAAAAGGGATACTAAACTAGCACCCTGGGCCCATTGATGACCCCCCGCATCAGTTCCCTGAACAACCAAAACATCGACACCCTGCTTGATAGCTTCCTCAGCTGCCTTGATAGTCCCCACCTGAACGAATACCTTCGTATCCCAATCAAACTCCTGCTGAGCTTGCCGAATAGCTTGGATCATTAGAAGATGATCAGAATTTGTCTGAGGGAACGATAGCCAGATCGCTGCTACCCGGTGCTTCCGCAGGACGGGAATGGCATTCTCAGTAAACCCGCTTGGTTGGAACGTGATGAAGCCGACACCAAGTGGTAGTGTCTGTTCATCATTCAGACCGAGGATAGTACGGGATTTTGCCAATTGAGTGTCCAAACTTTGGAGCTGCGTGGACTCCGGTTTGAAATCGAAGCCGGCACCAATGAAGCCTAGGTATGGTTAACTCTGTGCATACGGATATATAGTGGGTTCTTATCCTAAATAAGTTCGCAAGCATACCGAATCCGCCGGCCTTTGTCACTGCAGTCACTAGGTTGACATCTGCGAATCCAAACATGGGTGCATTGGCGATGAATGGAGTGGATGTATGGGGGAACCATTGCTTCAGATTTGTAGCCATTATATGATCGAGAGGCCATATATTTCGCCAGAAATAACTTCGAAGGTCTGTAGATAGAATGACCAGGTTGTGGCACAAGTAGACCAAAGGTTTAACTTATACGTTCGTAATCAACCCAGAACTGTAGCCCCGCGTAATTGATGCATAATCACAATTCTTCCGCGGGGAAGTACTCCAAGCCTTCAATATACTCAATTTACGACTGTTCATCCAATACCCAACATAATGCAAATTAGCTGAACTGCAATGAGGTTGCTTTCTACCATGAACCCGGAGCGAACATTGTGTTGTGAATCTATTGAAAAAGGCGGCCTCATCGTACATCAACTGGTTTCCTGGTCTAGCGGTTATGATTTTCCGTTAACAATTGCTTCAAGCAAGTGTTCCGGAAAGGTTCTGGGTTCGATTCCCAGGGAAACCATTTTTTTGTCCTTTTAGTATTCCCCCTAGATGGGGTACAGAGGCAAATTTTTTTTTGGTTGTGGTGGGGGTGGGCTCCATTTAGATTGGCGCTACTGTATACGTATGGTGGACCCGGGAACAATATCAAAGGGAGAGTTGACATGAGATTGCAAGACATAAAAGAATTTGGAAAGGAGAGAATGACCTGACTCAATGGGTCATGACATGGACTGGTTTACTACAATGAGACTTATCAGGGCTAGCGCAATTGAATCAATCTGCTCAACCCTATTTTATATTACCCTGGAAACACTGGATGGTTTGAAGATTAAATTATGTAGGGGAAAGAAAATTTACATTCGGTGTATCTAACTCTGAAATCACTAACACGCTTATAGCTTCGCACGGAATGTCTGTTGTAATTGTTCGAGACCAGCAGGTCCATCGTAGATCTGCTGCTCGATCATACGGGTGTTGATCTACAAGCAATGTTAGTTGATCCAGTAGCTGGCAAAATGACCCGGGTGTGCTTACATGCTGAGGCCCTAATTGATCAACACTATCCACTCCGAGTAGACGCATGCACGTCTTCATTTCATCGTTCAAGACTATGGAAATATTAGCAATATGCCTCCAGTTCGAGTACTCTGTCAACTTACTCTGCAAGGTACGACGGACACCGTCGACACCACCTGCCGCGAGACCCCAGAGAGCCGCACGTCCAAGGCCAACAGCCTTCGCTCCCAAACAGAGAGCCTTTACGGCATCAGTACCCCGACGGATACCTCCATCCACGTAAACCTCGATCTTGTCAAAGACCTCGGGGCAGTATTTTCGAATTTCCAAAAGAGTGTGCACAGCCGGAGGAGCAGTGTCCATAGCACGGCCTCCGTGGTTAGAAAGGATGATACCCTTCACCTGAGGCGCATGGAGCGAGGCGAGGTATGCATCCTCGTGAGTCTGGAGACCCTTCAGGACAATAGGAAGGTCCGTCTGTGTGGCGAGCCAAGCCAGAGTCTCTGTCCATGTCAAAGAAGGGTCTGTGCCTGCGAATAGTTGTTGACCGACACCGCCCGATCCCTCTGTTGGGTTGGGGGTATCGTCCGACGAACGCTCAGCGGCTTTCACGCCACTTGTGACTGCGGCTGTTCTTCCAGTCATACCAGTTCGCTCGTCATCCTCACGTTTTCCGGGAACCGGGGCGTCGAGGGTGAGAACAATGTACTTGATTGCCTTGAGCTTGTTTATGCGTGCAAGCATAGCCTCGCTCTTCTTGCGATCAATCTGGACATAGAGTTGCCAGCCAAAGATCTGGTCTGGTGCTGCATTATTGACAATCTGCTCGGGGGTCATGGAAGCATTATTGGAGATAACCTGCATAGCTCCAAAGCTACGGCATGCCTCTGCGATGCCGGCTTCACCAGAAGGATGACCGAGGCGCGCCATAGCGGCGGGAGAGACATAGATTGGTGTTTTTAATTTGTGACCCAGTACTGTTGTATCCAATTCGCATTTTGTGCAGTCCACAAACACTCTTGGTCGCAGGAGGATGGACCGGTAGACCTGATTGTTGAAGTGCTTGCTGACTTTGTCGTCGGATGCAGAGTAATAGTACGCCCAAGCCTTCTTGCTCACTTGCTTAGTTGCCACTTCCTCCATCTCATCCAAGTTGAGAAGATTCTCCATAGGCGGCGGGCCCTCAATCTCCCCTTGGGGTTCAGCCGGGGCATCTTCCTTTGGTAATGTGCTGGCATCGACTGTTCCCAAGCATGCCTCGGGCTTGAGCTCCTCTTCTAAGATACCCGGCGGGTGGATAGGATCGTATTCCTCAGTGGCATCTTGACCAGCGAGCTTTAGAATTATTTTCGCACCGCCAGGGTGGCTGCCCAGGAAATCGGTGACCTAGATAAGGAAGAGTCAGACATCTATTGGGAAAACGGACGTAACGAAGAAATGAGCAAAAATCGTACATCGTAGACTTTGCCGTACAAAACCACCCAGCAACTCTCACGAGTGTTGTGCTTTGCGACTATTTTCCTTCAGTTAGTGTCATGAATTCATCCCGCGTGGGGGGTCCCGGGACATGTGCGGAGAAAGTACCTTCTGTCGCATCGAAGACCTTAGCCATTCTCAAGGCGCAAGCGGAAACAGGACACAGTCAGAGTATCTACCTGTGTATGGCGACACAGGGATATATAGAGAATAATTGTAAGATGAGGAGAGCACGCTGTTCGGAAAAAGGCGACTTCATGGAGAGTGTGGGGAACGGTCGGTCGCCGCTTTTTCCTTGTTGGGCGCCGTTTCGATTGCCGACAGGACAATTGAAAACACCCCCGCGTTATTGGTGGGATAAATGTGGATGGAAATGACCAATGAGTGCCAGAATAATGAATTCAAAGAGAGAAGACATACCGTAGAGAAGATTGAAGGTTAACGTTATACCGCAAAGATCACCTGAATAAACACATGTTCTGTCCACGTGATAGCTTGTCATCTCCCCCAATTCCCCGGAATTCAGCTTCCTTCCTCGACCTCAGGTGTATACTCTGTAGACAGTACTCTGTATACCCTCTTCTGACGTTTTGACCAGTGGAGACTGGAGACCATGTTCGAAGTGTGTTTACCTAGGACCCCTCCCCCCTCCCATTTACCTGTCCTGCCTTGCCATGTCTGACCATCTCAATATCAGCGTCGTGCCGCGGATCGGTATCGCCTTCGAATGCACCGGGCGCGTTCGGCCGTACTGACAT